GAGAAATTTTGAGTGCAAAGGGGTCGGCTGCCTTGGCAATTTAGATAAACTAGCTTTGAAAAGATATTTCTGAATGCCTCTCAATTGGATGATTGTGAATTTTTAAGAGCAAGTGCATCTATAAGCTGAGCTTCTAATGGCATAAATTACATTGAATTTGAAGATGAATTGAATTTTGATGAATCTCCAAGTGGACGGAGGTTGCTTGCCATAGTAGTCTTGGTCACTTAACTTTGAAGGAGCATTTCTCATGATTTAGGTATTGGATTGAATTAAAAATCATTAAAACAGGAGCGACTTTAAGTGAAACTTGCAAAAAACTAAAAATCATTCACTTTAGAGCTAATCACGATTTTTGGCAAACTTTGGACTGGAAGAGCATTTGCTGCCCTCAATTCTTATGCATTATTAAGGTACTTTTGCTTTTATTTCTTTTTAGTTCTATTTTTATTTTTATTCTTCTATTTTTATTTTAATCTTAATCTTTAATTTTTAATCTTTAATCTCCTTTCTATTACTTTTAACTTTTACTTTTAAATTAACCTTTAAGATTTTTACTTTTATTATGGATTAATGATAATAATCTGATCAATTACTTTTACCATCAATTATTTTAAGAATAATGATTTATAAATTTCAAATAATTAATTATTTATTTACTATAATTAATTATAATTTTTTAATCACATAAAATTTAATAATTAAGTAAAGACCATATAAATGATCTTGAACAAACAATAGAGATTTAAATAGAAATCATGCAAATAGACTTGAAAGACCATAATAAATTTCATTAAATCTTTTTATTAATATTGATAACTATTTATTCGGAGGCTTAAATTTAATTGAATTATAAAAACTAAGATTTAAATTAAATTAGCAATTACAAAATTAGAAGTTCTTCCATTCCACCTCCTAAACTTATTGTATAGCATCAATTTCATTGAATGTTGAAATTTAGGCTCACACCTAGTAAATATCCTATCTTCTCCTCAAATATTTTATTATATTTTATAATAAAAATTTATTCAAAACCAAAAAATCACAAAATCTTAGCCTTGTTAGATTCAAGAGCCTCAACCTATTTTATAAACAAAAACTTTATTATATATATATATATATATATATATATATATATATTCTTAATTAAAAATAAATAAAAAAACCAAACTTATATATGCTAAAGAAATGGATGGTTATTTTTTGTCTTTTAGAAATATCATCCATAAAATTATTCTTTTAGATATAGCAATTAGTAATCATAATAATTTAGTAATATTTAATATGATTAAATTTCTTTTAATTCAATTATTTTTGAATTATTTTGGCTAAAGAAATATAATCCTTAAATAGACTAGATTTATCATAATTTTGATTTTTTTTATAATTTAACTTAAGATTTTGCTAATAAAAAAGAAATTTATAAGTCCAACATATCTAAATTCTTATTAATAGGTGCAAGAGCTTTCATGCATGCTACAAAAGAAGGATAAAATTTTATTATATATACCACACTTATTTTTTATAGAAAAAAAAATTCAAATAGTGTTCCAAGCTAATATCCAAATTATTAAGATGCTTTTGAAAAACAAAATGCAGATATTCTTTTAGAGCATCATTTCCATGATTAATCCATTGATCTTCAAGAAAGAGCTCAATCACTATTTACTCCAATCTATAGCCTATCCTTGAATAAGTTAGTTATATTTAAAATTTACATTGACAAGAAGTTGGCTAAAAACTTGATATTCCTTTCTAAATCTCCAGCAACGACTCTTATCTTATTTGAAAAGAAAAAAGACTAATCTTTGCACATGTGTATGGACTATCAAGGATTCAAGAAGATCGCCATCAAAAATAAGTACACTCTACTTTTGATTTCATTACTTCTTCATCAACTCAATCAAGTAAAGATCTATATCAAAATAGATCTATAATGAGCATATAATTTAGTGTGCATTAAAGAAAGAGATGAATAAAAAAGTATATTTTGAATAAAGTATGGATATTTTGAATATAATGTCATGCCTTTTGGACTCATGAATGCACCAATTGCTTTTAAACATCTATTGAATGATATCTTTCATGAATTTCTTGATGACTTTGTCATTTGTTATTTGGATGGCATTTTAATCTATTTTAAGAATATAAAAGCATAAATTTTATATTTATCATATGTTACAATAATTTAGAAATACAAGATTATATGGCAAGATAAATATATATATATATATATATATATATTACACTATTCAAGTTAAATTCTTAACATACATCATTTCAAATGATGGCCTTAAGATAGATTCTAAAAAAAATTAGACTATCATAGATTGAAAGATTCCAAAAATAATCAAAGATGTATAATATTTTTTAAGATTTATAAATTATTATCAAATCTTTATTATGAAATTTTTTCAAATTATAGCTTTTCTTATAAGTTTCACATGTAAAGATAAACTTGAATAGAACAAAGAAGCTGAAACATCTTTTGAAGCCTTAATGATAGCATTTATTTCTATATCAATTTTATATTGCATCAAATTTTTTAAGGCATTTTTTATAGAAATAGGTACAGCAAACTTTGTTATGAATGCAATTTTGTCACAAATAGATGCACATGACAAGCTCCACCCAAGAGTTTTCCATTCCAAAAACTTTTAAGCAATCAAAATTAATTACAAGATTCATATCAAAGAGATTCTTGCAATCATTGATTTATTTTAAGAATAGTATCATTATCTAGAAGATGCTTTTAATCCAATCATCATATATATGGATCACAAGAACCTTGAGTATTGCATGTTGGCACATGTTTTGAATCATCACCAAGTCCATTGGATCATGTCTTTATTAAGTTTTGATTTCAAGATTACTTATTGGTTTAAAAAATTAAAAAAATTCTTATATACTTTTTTTAAATGTTCTTATCTTGCATTGAAAGAAAAAAATGTATCTTTTGATCAACAAAGAATGATTCTCTTAAAGCTAGAGCATTTTCATCTTTGAGCAATAAAATTAACATTAACTATTAATTCAACTTTTTTCAAATAAGTTCAATTGAGTATGTCTTATAATCCTTTTTTTTATGATATTAAAAATAATTCTTTTAAGTCTCAAGATAATTAAAAAATATATATCAATAATAAAGGTACAATTAAAAGAAACTAAAAAACAACAAAAGATCAATACAAATGCTTATTGTAAGAAACAACTTCAATTCCATATTGGAGAGAAGATATGATTATTTCATTGTAATATCAAGACTATTTGCTCTTATGATAAGTTGGATTATTATAGACTTGGATCATTTCTTATATGTAAACAAATTAATCCAGTTGCTTATTAATTATACCTAATAGAATCTATGAAGATCTATCTTATGTTCTATATATCACTTTTTAAACTATACAAGAAAATAGATATATCAAAAAGATAATAAATGCTACTTTTTTGTATAAAAGTGAATAATAACTAAAAATATGAAGTCAAAGTAGTCTTTGACTCAAAGCAATATCAAAATAGGTTAAAATATCTTGTTCATTAGCGTAAATATGATATTAATGAATATACATGGGAGTTAGCTAAGAATCTTATAAATTTAGTAAAAAAAGTTGATACTTTTTATCAACAACATCTATCAAAAGTAAGATAAAGGATAGCAAATCTTTACTATAAAAGAACTATATTTCTAAAAATATTGTATTCAACTTTTTATTTTTATTCAAGTTTTTATCTATTTGTGGTATTAAAGAAATAGAGAATCAGTTCAAAAACCTTCATTTACTGACTTATTAGATGAGACATTGTAATTATTACAACCTTCAAGATGATATAATGAAGATGAAGACCTTTAAGAATGATATATTATTCTTTGAATAGATTGTTAGATACAACAAATGTGATAATACAACCTTCAAAGAGACTCCTAATGTTTGGTGATTTTATTGGAAGTAGAAATAATTCTTAATAGTATTACAAATGTTTTGTTTGAAAAAAGTTACAAAAGCTTTAATAATGATCAAATAATATAATGGTCTTCTTGCCATAGAATGAAATATTAGAAGTGGTTGAGAAGACCTATTAATTACTATTAATGGAAATAAAGCTCAAAGTATGTGATAAATATTATTCATTGTATTTTAAACTTCTTCAATATATAATCATTTCTCTTTATAGAACTTATTTTTAGAAACAAAAAATAATGTCATAGATATACATATTTGTTTTAATAGTTACTTAGATATTTTGAATAATTAAAAATAAATTAGAAACTTAACCAATAAATTAGCTACATGTCACATGTATTGGTAGCTTAAAATACAAGTTAAAGATGTGGCGCACATATAAAAAAAATATTTTATAAGTTAAAACATGTGTCTAACAAATTAGACATGTGTCAAAGATCCTATAGAATGTTGCTACATAGATTCTAGTTAGATAGTATATATGGAGGCAAGAGTAAAACCTTCTTCATTCTAGACAACATCTTTCTAGTCTTTAATTTTATTTCAAGACTTTCTAATCTTTTTATCTTTGGCATTAACCATTCTAGTTTAATTTCGTACCACCTTTGAAAAATTTCTTAGTCTTTTGAGTGACACAAGAGTGTATTGACCTTTTAGTTCTTTGAGATTCATGTCTTTAACACTTCCTACCATTGATAATTTAATAGAATTTTAATATGTAAGTTTTTTTTTTTTATCTTAGTGAGTAGAAATTCATCTATGTTGGTTGTAGAGATGTTTAATCCAAATGGACTTCTTAATAATATTATTATACAACCTTCTTCAATCTATATCCACCCAAATTTACTTATTTAACTCAATACAAAGAAGAGAGGGAGAGAGAGGGGAAGGAGCTCTATTATTAATCATTGCTTTTGCACCTAAGAACGTAATTTTGACTATTTTCAAGAAAGCCTACAATAAGCCTTTGAGATGTCAAATTTTAAAAAATTGTGTCTTATATTGTCTTCTTTGTCCGAGCTAGTGTCTCATATGTAAGCATAATGTTGTTCAAAAATGAATTTTTAATTGAAGAAGGTGCTCTTTCAAGGTGTTCTTGGGGCCAGAGCTGAATGCCTTGGCATAGATTTTATATATGATGGAGAGCCATTTACCTAATGTCTTCCTATGGCCACCCTTGTGGGTTAATGTTATTAGTCCCTTGGTTACAATTTTGAGGAATGAACCGTGTGCTATGGCCTTAGCCACCATTTGTCAATAATCCTCGCCAACAATTTCCCAATACATGAAAAAGAAATCCAATGTCACTCTGTCAAGCCTTTGGCCATGCCAATGGCTGCTGCGTGAAGCTCTATATTCAGCATAGGTTGTTGTAACGTTTGAGCCATCAGGAGGTTGGCACGAGTCGGCAGTGCAGTCAGAATGTCATCTTCAGCCGCGATTTCTTCTACATCTCTGTTGGTTTCGCTATACAGGGCGGCAAAATAGGCCCTGCACTCCGTTGCAATCGCTTGATGGCCGACGAGGATTCTCCACTCTGACCTCGAAGCTCAGTTAGCATTGATCGGGCTGATTTTCCCACACTGCGATGAAGAACTCAGTCAATATTGTATCTGCAGTAGTCTTCTAGCAAACTCTGGATCGAATTCAACGGCCTTCGAGTTTCTTGGATTCTAACTCTGAGGGTTTTACGGCAATCCTCTTCTTCTAGGTACAGGGTGGCGTTATCGGGGTCCTCCTAGATACTTTCCTGGATTCTTGCCAACTCCAGTTGGTAGTCTTTTTCTTGTTTTCGGTTAGCTTCCGCTATCTGGACACCGTGAGTCTTAAACCACCTTGTGAAACGCCGCAGCCTTGCGAGGAAGTCTTGAGTGTCCCTACGTTCTACCCCCCACACCCTCGTCACTGCCCCCTTGATTTTCGGAGCTGCAAGGTGGAGCGTACTCATCTTGTAGCTGTCCTACCATCGGCCCTCGTCCGTGAGTGCCAATTCTAAACGGACAGGGTGGTGATCAGAGATCGTGTTAGCGCCAAGGATGGCACATTCTTTCACTGCGGCACTAAAGTCTGGATTTTGGCTCTCGGAGAGATAGTATCTGTCAAGGCGTCCTGGGATTCGACAGCCGTCTTTGTGCTGATTATCCCAGGTAAAGCGTAGCTTGCCCTGGAACTTGAATGGGTCCGTGACTTGGAAATTACTTCTGAAGGATTCCCATGCAAATTTTTCCCCGCCTGATAGCAGTCGACCACATTGGGAGGATTTATCCATCATGTTAAAATCACCTGCTATATGCCATTGGCAGTTTATTGGCAGATTTGACACGAGTTTGTGCCACAGTTGTACTCGTTCAGTGGAACAATTGGGTGCATAGAGATTCACCAATCCAATGTCACCGCCGAGAGTGTCGCTGAATTTGATCCAGACTGCCCGATTTTCCATAATAATGCCGATGTCCTCTACAAGCGGATGCAACCTGTTATCCACTAGGGTGCACACCTCTCCCTTGCCCTGGCCCTCCGAACCCTCAACGTTACAGCCAAGGATAGCTTCTGTGGCCCATTGTCCATAGCGAGGCTAGACAATTTTGCCGAGGTCCTAAATGCGGTCCCCTCGCAACTTGTGTTCCTGCAACATCACTACGTTGAGTCCACCTTCTACATTTTGCAAGAAATTCCTAAGTCTACCTAGTTTACGGGGGTCATTTAGACCCCGTACATTCAATGTTAGTGATCTTATAATCATAAAAGGAAGCCCTGAAGCACGGGGCTACCTTGGGATCTCATAAACTTACTAGTTTTCGACGATGAAAGGCGTTGCGATGTACTAGGGGTCCAACCGTTTGACAACGTGGGGCTCCTACTCTGACTTCTATTGCAAGGGAAATGTGAGGAGTTAGTCCAACTCGGAACGTCTACGGCGCACCAACCAGTCATTGTTCATAGGGGTTGGAGATGGTTGGTGACGTTCGAGGGTTGCTGCAACTTCGTCACTAAATTCGATGTTGATGTTAAGATTGATTCGTTTCATGATAGTTTCTGTGCCTGAGCTCGGATTGGAGTGGCTTCCAAGATCAATTCCCATCTCAGGAATGGGTGGGCTTGATGGGTCTTGGGTACTGTGCGCAGGTCCATGAAGCAATGGGTTGGGAGATGCCTGGGTACTCTGGTATGCAGCTGGTGAGCAAGTTTGGGCTGGCTACGGAGCCTCACAAGGGAGGGATTGCCCTCCTATGAGGTGGCAATTCTGGACACTTCCCTTCGGCGAGAAACTGTGTTGTAGGCTGGCTCTGGCTCCTCAATTGGCTGATGGGAACTCTGCAACAAGGGAGGATGTCTGACGGACGACGTGATCCTAGATGTGGTGGCTGTGGCGACGCACTGAAGGGCCGATGAAGAGGTAGAAACTATATGGAGGGTGTTAGAGTTATCATTACTAGGTTGTTTGTTGTATGTAGTTGGTTGTTCCATTGAGGAGGGTGTTCAAGATAAGGGATCTGAGGTTCCTTCGAGCCACGGAGTAGAGGGAAGAGCAGATAGGTGTCTTGATGTCGCTTGGTTCTCCCACGTTGGGTAGGGTGGAGCCTCCGGTGGGTGAGGAGGTACTAGGAGAGCTGGATTTTGTGGTGAAACACGAGCCATTCCACGGGATCCTCTACCCACCAAAATAAAACCTTCATTGTCAATTAGAGGCCTCCTTTGGAAAGCCTTGTCTTGATCTTGAGTTGTCTGAATGTTGTTTCGGCCAGGTTTGTGATTGTCTCCTCTGTTGGGCGGTTGTTCCCCGCTTGGTTTCGGTGGCTTCGCTCCAAGTCTGTGCGGGTAGAGACTAACCTTGTGTTGTACGTCAAAGCAGAATTTGCACCGGATGGGCAGGTGCGCATAATCAGCCAATATGGTAATTAGGTTACGGGTTTTATGATCCTCTATTTCAAGCTCTATTTCCCAGCCATGATTAGTGTCAAGGGCGGCACAAAAACGAGGTTCTACAAAGAAATTGTTACTCACATCTGTCGCAAGTACTTTCCATAGTTTTCCTGCAATCTCTAGGGCGACGCACGAGTTACTGCCAAGGTAGTCTTTTCAGAGTGATCCAAGTGAGAATCAACATACCTCGCTGGGTTTTGGGATCGAAAATGGGTGTCCACTGCTGGAAGATACATACAAATTCGTAGGAGCGATACAGGGCGACAACCAAGATCTTCTTGACTACCTCCTTGCCAGAGGCCTTTAAGCAAAAAATATCCGCGACCAGTATTATCACTGGAGATGACGTTGCCTCCGCCAATTTTCGTGTTCAGCTATGCCAACTAAGAGAAGAACGCCTGGGGAAGAAAGCTTGCCACCTAGGAAGTTGGCTGTAATCAGATGGTCCTCGAGGAACCTTTCTTCTGCTGCAACGACCTCATCCGCGATTTGTATATGCCTTTTTTCTTTCTTGATAAGGAACCTAGCGTAGTTACGGGTTAGTCCTTCTGGTAGGGTTTCACCAATATTCAGTCTAGTGGGATTTAGGATTAAATCGTCACACTGGAGCCGAATGGAATCAGCAAATTCACCGCCTGGTACTTCAGCCGTATTAACGTCTCCTTTGCTAGTTGGAGTTGCCACCTCGGGGTGGGTACGTATTGCATTAGCATAGGAGAGGGCCATGTATCGGGGCCCGGTTAAGAGAAAAGAAGGAAATCAATAATAAAAAAAAATGCAAGCCCTAATGTAAAATGCAAACTCTAATGTACCTTGTCTAAGAGTGAAGCGAGCTTGGTTGCCAGTCAGCTCCGAAAGAGTACAATCCTCACCCAAAACCTAACTCAAGGGAGGACGATAATAGTTGAATATTAATGTGTGCATGGGGAGCTCTAGAATTGCTGGGTGTCGCCGTCGTAGTTGCGGCAAGCATCCGCCATTGTTTCTCCTGTGCACAAACTCAACTACCGTAGCTCCATCCATCAGGAGCCGTCCTGAGCGGCACCTAGGTCTCTTAAGGACCATCAAATTCACTAACCAGCTCCATCGTCCCCTCTAGGAACCCTCAACCCAAAGCCAGCCGACACAAAAAAAAAAAAATAATAAAAAAAAAAATCAGAATGGAATATTCTATTAAGGTTGAGTGGTCCAGTCAGTAGCCGGTCCCACGTGGACCAGGTGTCCAGAGTGGCAAAGACCGGGGCAACTGAAATTGAGGAGAAGGGGAAGGGAAGAGGAACCCAAGGCCTCGAAATATCTGGAAGCATGAGTGCGCGGGGGACGGTTTATTGATCGGGATATTGCTGACGCGGCGCGGGTTCGTGCCCCGCTGGCCCACCACGTAGACCGGGTCCTAATGGGGAGTAGTACAGCACGGTACAGTGCCCACCGCCACGTCAGCTTCATAAGTCCAGGTCCCCCGGTTGTAGGCTTCCCGCCCTCTACTACTACCCACCGTCTCTTGACCAGTGCATGAGAGGGGCCTTGTTATCAAGTAATTCAACAGCTTTTGGAAGGGGGGATAAAACTATATATATATATATATATTATTTATGTAATAAGTACTAGGTGTATCTGTGTGGTAAATGTATTTGATCCCCTCATGAACCTGATTTCTGAACGGTGGTGCCATTCAACACACAACTCTTTTGCTTTGGAAATTGAGCACATTTTGACACACACACACACACACCCCCCCCCCCTCCCCGAGAGTTTATTATTCAGTGTCATTGATGTCCGTAGAAGTAAATAAACAGTCGGGAAAGCTCTTTTGGTCGTTGGCAATCATTCCTTGTGTCGTTGTTGTTTTAATTTTTTAAAAAGTGCACGATTGGGTTTGTTTTAGCTATTTTGGGAACCAAAGCAAGAGGACATTCTAAATTTTGGGGTTCATGAGATTTGATGTGTATTGGAGGTAATGACCCTTTTTTTGGAAAAAAAAATTGCTTGGAGTAAGTGTAAAGGGAAAGTGGCTAGATGATATTTTTAGCAAAACATGAGAATGGAATGGACCAGTCCATCTTGTGAGCTAGTGAAGGCCTGGACTAACTCTGTTTTCATTTCTGTCTGTGCTTCTGGGGATCCTCAAGTCTATTTAAAGCCATGCTGAAGGTGTTTATGATTCTAGCTAGTGCCCAAGGAATTGGCCTATTGAGAATTTGTCAATCCTGTAGCTCCTGGCAAAGATTCTTTAACTCTAAGCAAAGTGACTTGAAACGGTCCAAAAAAACACACATTATTATGGTCTACAATTTGTGGTGCAAAACCACTACCAGACTAGGGGTGGAGGCAATGGTGGACAGAATCCAGGGTGGACATTGATCCTTTGAGACAAAAATAGCCTCTTTTTTTGGACCCTGAATCACTCTACATATAGCGCTGGTACTCAAAATTGTGGGGTTGGTTTTCAAAGAGAATGCATTACAAAAAAGTTTTTGTGGTTGTATTTTTATTTCATTTCGTTTGTTTTATTTCTATTTTTATGATTAAAACTTTCCAAGAGCAACTGTGAGGAGATCTGCATCCAAAAAGCCAATGATGTCAAGAGCCAGAGGGATGAATACTTGAGAGAAATCAAGTGACAATTGGATGATAATTTATTTGGAAGAGACCCCAACAATGTATGCCAAGTCCCCAAAAGAGAGTGTAAGAGAGAGAGCGAGAGAAACAGGTCAAACTCTGTACAAAAGTGCAATTAAGGTTGTGAGGTTTCCCAGGTCAATATGAATCCCCAAAATCCTCTGTAACAGTCTCTCACCTTGTCCAGTCAGGCCAAGACAACTCCCAGATGCAACATTCGTAACTCAAAATGGCAGACACTTTCAAACCATTCAGCATCTAGCTCTCTACTTTCTAGGGTTAGAGAGGGACCTGGTGAAGTTACCCAGCTCTCTCTCTCACACTTACGAATGATGTTGGATGAACGTGGATGGATTTACATCATCCACGTCCCCCCTGCTCGCCCTACATCGTCCAGGCTTTCTTCGGTATTTCTTTCCAGGTCCACGAATGATAATGAGCAGAAAACATCTATTCGTTGAAGTACGTTCATCTGTGCAAGGTCAATCCGTCCCACTGCAGCTTTTTGGGGTTGTTTAAAGGAAAAGGCTTTTTGAGAGAGTGAAGAACAAGCGATGGAGGCAACGAATCAGCGACGGACTGTAAAGGTGGCATGAGTAGCCTGGACACTGGAGCCGTCAGGGTCGTGAGCGGATCCTCGGCATCCGAGCTTTGAGGGGAGAAAAAAACCAACAACAATCCAAACGCACGGAGGCAAAGAAAGGCTAAAATTATCTCAGGGAGTCTGGAAATGGGCAGACAGAGAGCTGTAACTTTGTAAGAATGTAGTTAGAATTTGGTGGCGTTCTTTGTCATAGTGCCACTTCCATTTTACTCAACACATGCTGCAGATTAGAATGGCAGGTTTGGACGTGATATCCATAACTGCAGAGGACGATGTGCTTTGTGCAAGTTTGGGTTTCGAAGGGGGAAGACGACGTAGAGGTTGGGTGTGATGATGGTTGCGATGAGTGAGGATAACGCTGCTCGATGCATTGGCAGTGTGTGTGTGTGTGTGAGAGAGAGAGAGAGAGAGAGAGAGAGGAAGGTGGGGTTAAATTGGTTTTTTTGAGTGTATGAGGTGTTGTGTGGCGAAAGTTTCCCATGGTATTGGTTTTGTATTGATTGCTTTGCTTGGTGAAGCAGCTGGCGGTAAGAGGGAGGAATGTGTGTGGGAGGTTCGCCTCTGGAATGATTGATTGGGGAGGGTGATGTAATGGGGTTTGGTGAGAAATTAGGCCTGGCGCGATAGTGAGCCAGAAGGTGAGAGAGGTATGGCAGATGAGATTGCGAGGATGTGCCTCCCGAAGCGAATCGTATTGGCAGCTGCTGCAAGTTCATAACCAAATGTGCGTAAGCTGTCGAGTGATGCTCTTCGTCCATTTCGCCTTTTCGGTTTTTGAGCAGTGAAGGTTAACAACAGCATGGAACTACGGCAGGCCCAATGTGCACGTTGGGGTTGGGAGATGCATGGTGATCTTTCTGTAATAGTTTCGAGGAGCAGGAGGTAGTGCAGATTCTCTGATCCATGATTCTTCTCTCGTTAGGACGCTTTGGGAACTGTGTAGTTGGTTGGTGCAGTTGTACTCCTGAGATCCATTGCTGTCTGAATACCAGAAATGGTTTCCCGGTGAGTTGACCGACCGGCTGTGGTCATGGGACACGAGACGAAGTCAAATTGCAACGTCATGAGCTGCTTCTGGGGTTAGGTAATTCTAGTGGGACTCTCGGAGAGGCGATAAGCCTAACGTGTTTGTACTGGATCATCGGTGGCAGAATGGTTAATGGTGCCTTCTTGAAGTTCACAGGAATTTTTTCGGTGCTCAATACTGCAAGAATGAAGAATGGTAAAGAACGACGCGCTATGTCTGGTCGCAAAAGTTGGAAGGTTTTGGGCTGATAGCTCAGCTTTGCTGCAGCTGAGCCATGGCGCTTTCAAGAACCACTGGAATTTGTAGCGGAATTCTGAGAGGCTTATAGAACTGCGAGGAGGAGAGGCGGAAGGCAGTCAGGTGAGGAGCTATGGCTCCCCCAACAATTACGAGTCCGAAGCCATTAGTGGAGAGCAACAAGGATGTGGATCCACAGAGCTACTCCCTTGAGAAATTCAAGCTTTATGAGACACGCGCGGTATGTATTCTTCTCTGCCATCACTGTCTCGCAGGTTCGCTCGTAAGCTTGATTCCACTACCGACCATTCCACAAGCTTCTGTCCCTCACGAAGTTTTCTTTAAAATTGATTCTTATATCTGGATATTGAATTTTTTTTACCTACGAAATTGTACACATCCATACTGAAAGGTTTTACTTCTCGCGATCACACCCGTAAAAAAATTAGAGATTATACAGCTGGAATCCTTCGTTGTTGGTTTTATTTTGCAAGAGAAAGTAGAGGTGTGTGACAGCAAACGGTGGGACGTGTATGAAAAAAGTGATTTTGCTACTCAGTCTTCATGATCCCAATACGGAAGTGCGTCAAACGCAGAAACGAGTTGAACAAGTTGTCACTCGGATGTATTGGTTGCCGTCTATTTGCCAGAAATTCTATTTAGTGGGGAGGGACAAGAAAAAGCAGCACTGGCAAGTGCTGAAGATCGACCGCTCGGAACCCTCCGATCTCAGCATGCTTGAAGACCCCACGATTTACACCGAGGCGGAGATCAAGTTGCTGCTGGCACGCGTTGCTGAAGGAAATAAGTCCAGTGGTGGTCTCAACCTTGTCACCCAAGCTTATGGCATTGTCGGTATGTCACTTGATCTTGACACTGTTGATCCTCAAAAAAGTCGAAGAATATCGTGTCGTGAATTCTAAATCTTACCTCTTGTGTCATGCTTAGGGTTCATCAAGTTCATGGAGTCCCACTACATGATTCTTGTGACAAGGCGTCGACGGATTGGGACACTATGTGGGCATGCAATCTATTGCATTGACGAAAGCCAGCTTATCACCGTCCCGCACTCTACTGTGCAAACTGAAGCCTCCCATTCGAAGGTGGAACTAAGGTTTTCTTCTTCTCTCTTTCGAACTTACGAAAGTGGTCTGCCTTCACACTGAGAGTGATACAAGCCAGCTATGGACATCACAAGAAGATCCCACATTTTCTTTGGTTTTGAATGTATGAACTGTAAGAATACACTTAGTTAAAGAAAGGATTGTCACTAAGCTTTTGCCTGTAACTAGTTCAGCGATACCGGATATGCGAGCTCAATCCTCTGGCTTTTGCCCTCACAGATACAAGAAACTGCTGGGAGGTGTGGATCTTACGAAAGACTTCTACTTCAGCTATACCTACCCCATCATGCGGACCATGCAGGCCAATGTGAAAGCACTGGGCGAGAATCAAATGCCTTATGAGAACATGTTCGTTTGGAATGCTTTCCTCACAAGTGGAATTCGGAAGTCCCTGAAGAATACTCGGTGGATTGTTGCTCTAGTCCATGGATTCTTCGAGCAGGTATATACCTGAGTTTGTAACGTTTGTTTCTATGATTTTAGCCATATCCAACCATATTAATCTAGATACGCAAAACTGCAAGGGTGATTTTTCAAATTAGTAAGAGTTCCATGATTGGGTTTCCGTTCCTGTGAAAGGAACGCAGAAGCAACACTGCGGGAAGTTTAATCGTTGCCTGGAGAAACAATTTCGCAGACACGACTCTCAATATTTGGGCGCATTTTTGTCATCACACTTATTGCAAGGCGATCCAGGCACTTCGCTGGCACACGGTAATTGTTCTGCAAAAGAAGCAACCCAGGCACCCTTATCTGCTCAAATTTTTTAACAGTCGTTGATTTTTGTATGATGTGAAGTTCTGTCCGAGTGCATGCGTCGAATTGCCCTCTATTACCATCATTAAAGCGAACTGGGCAGTGCAGGTACTTGAAGAGAGGCGTCAATGACAAAGGTCGAGTGGCAAACGATGTCGAAACAGAGCAAGTGGTCTCGAATGAGGAGGTGGGAATTGACCCATGCACTGGACAAATTAGCTCTGTAGTGCAACATCGAGGCTCCATTCCATTATTCTGGTCCCAGGAAATGTCTCGACTCAGTCCAAAGCCTGACATTATCTGTAAGTAACATCTGCCTCTATGCTCGGTGCATCTGCGTAAATCGCATGATTACGATCACTGCAACTAATCAAGTCATTTTTCCTGTCTGCATCCTGTTATCAGATTGAGCTTGTGCTAATTCTTGGATAACAGCCTGAATACTGCATTCTGTTCCCTACACCAACAGATTGTTGAAGAGGCTGTTACTAACGAACCAATTGATCTCGAATTGGGGTTGTGGATCGGGTCTAGACTCGATTTAAACTGCAGTGTTGTGAATGATAAATGCACCCGAAATCGTCACAATCTGCGTTTATAATGTAGCGCGTTTGCGTAAAGCAAAAAGTGAACGTATCCGAAAGATTTTCCTTACGTTGGTTAATGAAATGGGCAGTGCAGAGATTTGATCCCGTTTACCATGCTACCAAGCTTCACTTTGACGACCTTGCAAGTAGATATGGGAATCCTGTTATTGTTCTAAGTCTCATCAAGGTAGACAACCTTACACACAGCTATGATTCCCTTAATGCTCATGTAAGGTCAAATGTGTACCATAACTACGACATCCTGCAAATGTCACTTACTGTTTTTTCTGGTCATCCGCTGACGTGATTTTTCCGTGTTTGTGTAGACAGTAGAGAAACGGCCCCGTGAAATGATGTTGCGAAGAGAATTTGCCAACGCGGTGGGGTACCTGAATCAAATGTATCCCGAGGAAAGGCGCCTACAGTTCATACACTGGGATTTCCACAAATTTGCTAAAAGGTTCATTCATTTTCTATGTGCTTCGCTTCGTTTTACAATGACATTGTCTAATTTGTAGTGCGTATAACACGTATCTCCTAAAGTTCATGCAACGCCAAATCACTCTCATATGAAAAAAGAAAGTTATTTCACAAAAAGTCGGGCGCATGCTTGTGCCGCCAAAGGATTAATTCGATTCCTAGACGATGTCATTAACTGCCTTCAGATCTTCCATCTGGTCAAGGACGGCATCGGACTTTCTTGCAATTAATGCTCTAAGTATCTTTTTCTCCAAGTATACCCCACTTAGTGTAGGAGACGTATGGCTAGTTTTAGAACTTATATTTCGAACTATTTCATGCCAATTTTTATTTTTTTGAATTTTTTTCAATAAGGATGAAGGCTTACTCAACTCTGTTGTTTCAGTGGCAGCAAATCCGCCAATGTACTGGCCGTTCTGGGGGGGGTGGCAGCTGATGCACTTGATCTAACAGGATTCTACTACAGTGGCAAAACTTTCATCTCGAAACGGAAACCACAATTACCCATTCTTCAAACTGCCCCATCGTAAGTTGTCATCTTTAATTGTTGCATATGATCTATTTGAATCAGTTTTATTATCTGAATCCTTTAGTCTAGATGTCCAAGGAGGTTTCTTTTAACAGTCGATCTACAATATGTTATCCTTTGTGTCATTTTTTCCAGGGGTTCTAGATTTTAGTCTAATTTATTGTTCTAAGCAGGATTGGGACTGGTAGGAACTTGTCTCCCTTGAGAGACAGAACCTTGTCCCTGGATCTGTCGTCAGATCGTCGTCTAGCATTGGACATGGGGAGTCGGCAACTATCCTTGGACCTAGGCAAATTGTTCTCCGCTGTAGGCAACAGCAGCATGAATGGGAGACTTATTTTTCAAGAGGTTGAGCCTAAACCTCCCGTCATCGATAAGGCAAGCGAGCCATTCTATCAGAACGGTGTTCTCAGAACGAACTGCATAGATTGCCTTGACCGCACTAACGTTGCCCAATATGCTTACGGCTTGGAAGCTCTTGGCCGCCAGCTCCAAGCTGTTGGCTTGATGGATGTCCCAAAATTGGATCCAGACTGTGGGGTAGCAGCTTGCCTTATGGACATGTATCAAAACATGGGTGATTCTCTGGCACTTCAGTATGGTGGTTCCGAGGCTCATAATTACGTAAGCTGGCTCTGTTCCTTATCCGTCATACCTCGTGTTTGTCAGAATATGACAGAAGCCGTGGTGGTAGTTTACACTACAATATTACGGAGATAAAATGTGTCCTGAGCAGAAGTTGCAATTATTTATAAATTGAAGTGAATGGTTGCAGGTATTCCCAGAGAGGCAGGGAAAGTGGAAGGCCACCACCCAATCACAAGAGTTCTTGAAGTCTATCAGACGTTACTACAGCAACACCATCACCGACGGTGAAAAACAGGATGCTATGAACTTGTACGTTTTCGCTCTTCACGGCAGGCTATGATAACTGTGATTCGAGTGAAATTTCGACGGATGTCTAGTCTTCTGTTCCATGCTCCAAAACTTCCAGATGCTTATTTCTTTTCTGCTCATGTGAGGTGAATTCCCATGCGACATGATCAATAAATCCCTTCTCAAAATTAAGTCAAGATCAACTTACGAAAGGGACGGTTGTCCCTAATGGATGAGTGCTTGAATTTTTTTCGTCAGATTTCTGGGCCACTTTCAACCTCAAGAAGGAAAGCCGGCTTTGTGGGATCTGGAATCGGACTACTATTTGCATGTTGGAGGTCGAGGGGAAGAATTTGGCAGTGAGGATAATAAGTAAGTATCAGGAATCAGAACTTCGCATGATCTCATACTAATATTCACTGCATTGTGTAATGCTTTCATCAATTATCGTTAACATCAACGGATGCTGTTGCAGAAAGTTGGCTAAAAGAATCAGTGATAAGGCCTTGACACTTAGCTCTCAAAATTCTAGAAAGAACAAATTGTATGCAACATCACCTTGTCGGCTAGATTTTCACCGACTCAAGATGACATCATTCGATAAGCTTCAGCAAATCTGTGGGCCAGTTACAAACGTGCGCTTATATACAGAGACTGGCCCAAAAGGTGCCGAAGTCGCATTAAGAGGGGTTGCAAGAGATGCTGCGTAAGTTCACCGTTTTGTGTCACCTTTTGTTCATCATTGTTTAATTTTTATAACTTTGTTTTTTTATCGTTTTACAACAATCCATTGAGTTTTTTCTACTTAAACATTGTGGTATGGTCTTCATTCAGGGAGGTGCAGCTGAAAAGCCCAAATTGGCTCTACGGCCAGCGAAGGCCCGAAAAGGGGACATCACCTAGCAAGTCACACACTGAGCAAGTTGCAGAAGCGCACGCAGCCAAAGTGAAGGAAACAAAGAAGGAATTAGAGGACTTAGATTGGCTTACGAATCTATGCCCTTCTGGTGAGGAAGAGCTCTTTGCAAGGTAAAACGAATTCCTCAAAAGAACCGTCTGCGCCGGATGTTCGTCGAGATGAGGTCATTAATTTTCATCATGTTTCAAAAAAAGAAAAAAGAAAACAAAAACATAACGTTTCATCTTGTGTGGGATGCAGATATGTTCTCGTAGAATCGACAGATGATGATTCCTGGTACGGAACTAAAATCCTCCCAGGTACTGTTGAAGAGAGCGCGGCCAATCAACACTATCTGCAGTGCTGCAAGGTTGTCTATAAGCCCACTTTTTGAAGCTCTCATGCTAATTGCTATTCTTTTTCATAAATCAGCGTTACGGTCTACTCACGGGAACTGAAAATGTGTGTGCAGGGACCATCGATTGATCCGTGGGATTGGACAAGTACTGGTGGAATGGATTCGTTTCAAACTGTAGCCGATGTAATACAGGAACAGGACGAGGATATGATGAGGATGGCCATGGAATCAGCGATAAGTCAGTTCCAAACTGTTGGCTCTTCTGTTCCTTACAACCAGATCATGCCCCTGGCTCCTGCAGGCTCCGATTGCATGGTCACCTTCCGAGACTGGCTACCTCGCGACAACTCCCTTTGTAAAGTTCTGTCGTAGCTAGTCTTCGAGCTGGCTGCAAAGCTCCTTAGAAAGTTGTACAAATTATCGACATCTGAGGATCACGAATTTACGAAATAATGCCTCAGTAATCACTGTAAAAATGTGTGCCATCTTTGGCTCCACTCCAGGGATGCAATTTGCGTGCAACTGTCTAGATTAGGGTTTAGAAGATGATCGAAAAGTTCCCTAGAAGTGCTCAGATCTTATCTTGAAAATCGACGGCCTGGACGCTACAGTGGGTGGTTTTCGTGGCCTTGTACATAAAAGCCAAATGTATGTCGTTAGTGAAGAAACTGAAGTTGAACAATTCTCTCATTTACTTCAATGACGCCATGTCTCGATGAATCTTGTGCTCAATGTCATTGTTACTTGCTCTCTCTTACCAATCCTATTCTAACCTACGAATGGATCCTTCAGAGAGAATTAAATGATTCAACGTATGCCTGCTGAGATGAAGATAGGAAGCATTTGGGCTTTGGTTCGATGCCCCCGCTTATTCGAATTTTGCGTTGCAATGTTGATACGAATGTTGTTCGCGCGATTCTTAAATTTTCAGTGACTGGTCTTCTTAGACTGTAATCTTTTGTAAAACCTTCATTTCGGGGTCATTCGTGGTTTAGCAGGACAATTCTGTGGCAAAACCTTCACACAGAGCTTGTAGGGGCCGCCGTACCCATTTCCAGTGAGCGTCGGGGTCCACTCGCTGTTTCTCAAGGTGAACTCGTTTCCACCAAAGCTTGCTGAGCTTCCCTGCTTCAACGCTCGCCTAAGAGAGAATAAATTCTTCCGCGAAGCAGGCGTGTACAAGACGTTCTCAAGGACGCCATCTTCCCATTTCAGCCCCAGTCTCCGCTGTATCCTGATGTTGCCTCGGCCACGGACCCCGTCGTGGCTACCATTCAGCTCCTCGACAGACCATTCGTCCTCTGGAACCTCCTCGAAAGTGAAAAACCATTCTCTTCTGGGCGTCTTATGACCCGAGGCTTCACACACATACCACCCATCGGCATCGTCAACAAAACCCTGCGTGTCTGGCAACACTTCTGCAATGCAAAATGGGTGAAGCTCTTTTTCTTCATCAGATCGCTCATGCTTGCAAATACTTCAATTCAGTCCTAATCAAAGGAATTCTCAGGTTGGGAGGCGCAGCAAGCTGGGTGTCAATGAGTGCTTGGAATACACTGGGAACCAAGTGGTGCTGGAGCGGTACCAGAATGATAATGTTTCAGTTGCAGCGTCGTTAGCTCCAGGGGCATAACTGTAGATTAGTTAATCCAATAAACAAACCGTTACAACCGCTGGGTCGACGGTCCCCGAAGATACAAGGATTCTTTCCTCCTATTGATTCTCTGTCAAGGGCGAAAGACCAGAAGTCCGCCTTTGATTTAACACACTACGAATCGCATGACAGGAGCTTGCATTAAGATGTGTGATATACGCTTGCTCAATGAATACTCGGATTGAGAGTAGTTTTTTTTTTGTGTGTACGACAGAAACGACGCAATCCCTCCTCAAGCTTACGAAGCATGAAGAAAATGGAGAATCAGCAAAGATAACACGACCAATTGTCAAGCCTGCGAGATGTGCGTGGCTTCTTAGAGCAAGTAACGGTCACTTGTTTAAGGTTTAGAGTAGTGCAAAGAGTGCTGAAAACAAAATTAGTGCCCAGTCGTTGGCTTATCAGGGAAGATGCTACAAATTTGATACAGCCATGCTCGAACGTGACCCATCACTTGCTTCGACTACGCAATTATATCACACAATAGATTTCGGATTCATATAATCACAACAGGTAGTTATATCTTAGAAAATCGTATCCCCCCCCCCTCCCCTACCAGCCAAACGATCAACCCAGTGGAACTACCTCTTTACAACTCGTAAATAAATCTTGCGAGATGGCCATAAGTCTCACACGCTCGACCAGCAATGCGACATTGCTAACGGTAAGCAGTGCATGAGAGGATCCTGCAATGCCACGAAAAAGAGTTCTGTACAAAGAAAGGACATACAAGTCTTGTGATCATCGGCCTCTTTCAGCAATACTTTGGAGGCTGGGCCGCCATGCTCCTCCTCGGTATACTGGGTGTAGGGACTGCAGCGGGGATTGCATGGATGGATAATTTAGTGGAGCAGGTGCCGCTGGTGAAGTCAAAGTTTCAGCGATGTTTTCCTAAGAGGATCAAACAACCGCTTCGTCAGTGTCAGTTGACCTTTCCTTGAAACATGTCAGGAGCAGAAAACGTGAAAACACTTAATCTTCATACAAACCTACGCAGTGGGTCATCTTCGACTTGTGACAAACCTTTTGTGAAGCGAAGGACTTCGACAACATCGTTCGCAGTTGGTTGATTTGTTTCACAGCAGACCTTCTGACGTCCGACTGCTCCATTAACACTTGCGTAGACTAGAGCGCAAAATGGGTTTGGTTAAGGTTAGAATTTACATGGATGTCGTGCAACGAAAAGACCGTTTGATTGCGATGGGGTAGCAAAAGTGCAATGCATTAGGCTTCAGTTAGGAGCTCACTTGGATAGGTGAAGGTTGATGTTTGGAGACAGTGGTGCCTGAATGGGAGCTTCTCTTCCTGTGCACTTGATGAGTGATGGCGCCTTTGTCAGACATTTCTGACAAAACATCTGCACCACAGATTGATACAGAAAATATCAAAATGGAATCATAAAAGGTTTATAAGAATAATTCACAAGATATGGAAGTGTGAAGGAATTATTGCAATGGTGTCGAAACTCAATGAACTTCTCACAATATTCGTAATCTAAACTTTCGGTCACGAAAAGATCAATATTCGTCATCACAGGCAAGGAACGCTGAGAACTGAGAAATGCTAAGAAACATTCCCTTCTCTCGCAACAAATGACTGCACTGAAAACTAGTAAAGCCAAGAGTTCGAGAACAAACCTTCAAACGATACCAGTCGGTAGCAAGAGCCAATGTTCAACATGGTACCCGGCGGTAGCAGCTTCAGTTTTCGTTTCACATGTGCCGGACAATCAGCAATAGGCGTCGGTGGGGGCGATACAAGCGCCACATAGTGTCCGGGATACTGCAGCATCAATTGCTGAGCTGAGGACGAGAAGTAGAGTTTCTCCACTTTGCCATTAGGGTGCTCCACAGTCGCACACACGGGGTCGACCGCATGGCAATTGCCCATTCTCTTCCACAGATGACCCAACCCTTTGGAACGCCTTACAAATAATACACCCGACGGTTTTGGACCCAACAAGTGTCTAGGAAATGTTCACTAAAAATCATCAAACTTGGTAAAATGCATTTCGACGGTTTCACCAGAAGTTCAGCCCTGCTATCCAATGCTTGACGACGTAATCATATGCAGCAACAGAAGAGGTAGATATCTTAAAGCCTAGTCACATTCAAGATCCCCGAGCATCTTATCAGGAACCCGACTACGAGTTCTGCCTTCTATTGGCTTCTTTGAACACTCGAACAAGTGCTACCAAGCTACGCGTCCACAGCTATTGACAATTTGCATTCGCTCCGGTCGAAACACACTCCCCTCTACTTGCAGACAAGGATCAGTGACTGCGCTTCACACAAGCTGTCGCTCATCATCGCTGCTCGAGACTGTGTCCAAATCACGAAACTCTTTAAGTGTAATGCAAACTTGTTTGCCTGCTAGAATTACTTCCGTCAAGCAAGCTCCCACAACTACATCCAGATGCCATTCGTGGAATTCATTACAAAAATCGACCGTTATCGTGGGGGCTATGAAGTCAGTCAACGACGGAAGGCGAAGCTCATAACACTCGCACAAAACACCCCTGGCTTCGCTTTTCTGTCTCCTCGCTCTTAAGTGCTGTTCATCTCTTCCAGGAAAACCACTGCCGACACACTCTCGCAAAATGCCTGCATTCGTGTCACAAGTGATGTTCCCCTTATCAACACTCAGACGCACTCCACACAATTAATGCCCTCTTCACTGACCCGGCATTACATCAACGATCAAACACAGCAACCTCACAAAGCTCTGCACAGCGTCTGACACACCTCTCCCGACCTGATCCTCGTCAACGGCTATGTACTGAGTGCTACACGGATACCCCTCCCAAATATCATCAGTGAACATTGCTAACGCATCTTAACATGCTGAAGACCCGAACACGCACAGAACTTTACGGGACTCAAGGTTGACATGAGCGTTCACAGATCCGGCTTGCTTCTTGCGCCGAGCCGCGTTCGATAGACATCGACAAACTACCACGCTACCACGTCAGTGGTAACCACAAGCCAACACCCAGGTGCCAAATTGACTGAACCCCCCACCAAATGCTCTGGTGCAGCCGGACACACCATCCGAGCCGATCTCATACCTTCTGACACCATCTCTGCCCACTGTACAGAGGGCCATGTGGCCCCCACCCGATTATCGATCAGTCTCCGAAACACACGCACCACAGTCTCAAACTTAGAAACCATGCCTACACCGTCATATTCAAATCCAGCAGCTATAGCACCGCCATGTAACTACTAGGGGGCGGAAATGTCCTTGCTACTTCTCGATCGGAACCCACATCGCCGGATCGACGATCACTAGCCTGCCGCGTCGCCATGCCGAAAATCGGTAAGCTGCAACTCCACGGCTGATTCTTGAAAGTTCCCGGGGAGCCCCCTACGAGACAGAGTAGATTGTTGGACTCTGTCTTAATTTAAGGGTGATCTCCAACGAGAGAGGAGCACGAGGAATCTGCATGGGAAAGACGAGCTGAGGCGATGCCCTCCACCTCCACCTCCCCAGACTTGAGTACAGACCCGGTCGATTGAAGGGCAGTCTACGCGCGGCTAAATTGGGTTTACAGTCCCCTACTGTGGCAAATTAGGGTGGGGGATTTTTCTCCCGAGCTCCGTGGATTGTGCTCTCCGTTCGTGTTTGTGCAGGATGGTAAATGCAAAAGTTTTGGTTTGAGATGACGTGTGGAAACTCTGGCAACCGAATGCCATCTTCAGTGCGACATAGACGATAGCAAACTGCAAGCTTTATCATATTGTTCAGGTAATTGAGATGTTTGTATGCGTGGGATGTTGATCCTTAGGTTTTATGAATAGCGTGAATGAATTTCGTTAGTCTTGCTCTGCTTTCCTTGTTAGAATGGTTTTGTGGGTATCGATCATTTTTCAGATTGATACACATTGTAATCAGATTGTTTAAAAGAAGATGTCTAATACTTGTTATTTGAATAGAATCTTTAGATCGGTCATGAGAATATATATATATATATATATATACATACATAGGTTTTTTTCTGGTGGGGTTAGATTAACAATTCTCTTAATTGGCATTAGTCAATTTGAACTTTGTTGAAGAGAATATCCCTAATTGTCAAAAGTAAACAAAATTGACAGTTTGAGAAGATATAACAGTGATTATACAATTGTTTAGGTAATTTCAACCTTGGCTTGTCGACCAAACTCCAATTTTTAGTTTGTATATGACATGAAAGTTATCAAATATATATAAACGCGTTTTAATAGTGTGTGATATGTCCAAGTAGATGCCAAAAACTCACAAAAACAGACAGTAAAACTAGTATCTGCATTTAAGTGGACACCAAATGTAAAAATGGTTGAAGTGAGTATTTGTAGAGATTATTTAAATATATAAAAAAGAGAACCCCTTATTGTCCTGTCATGAATACAAACTAAGTATGACTAGTGAGCCCACAGAGATCATGGGGTCAAAGGTGCATGAACATTTTGGCCATGCCAAGAAAGCCAGCATGGGCTTTGAATGGCTTGACTTATTCAGTTTCCTCAAGGCCTCATAGCATGCCTTTGCACAGCAAGCTCTATGCTGTAGCATCCCACCTCCATCCTTGGCTTCATTCTTACTCACCCATATTTTCATCCCACATTGCTACAGACACCCAACTGTAAAAAATGATTCCTGAAGCATTTTAAAGGAGTGCTACAGCTTTTGTTGTATTTTGTTTAGTTGCTATTATTCCATGTTACATTCATGTTTTATTATTAATTTATTTTCGTGGTACGCTTTTTTTCAAATACAAAAATCACATGATTGAGTTTACGTGATTGTAAAATTTTAACGAAAGAGAATTGTACCGTGCGTTGACTAAAGCGTCGATTGTGTTTAATCAAAACGATCTAAACATTATGCATTGTGATCTTAAGGAACCTTCCTTTCAAGTATCTATTTTTATAATTTTGATTTTAGACTAGGGCCTGATTCTGAATGCCCTAAATGTGTTGAGCCCATGTTTTTGCTTCCGGGAAAAGTTGATGCTGTGTGTTCCATTTTCACTGTTTCTAGCATCTCTTATCAGGAAGATCGGCTTATCTATTTTCATATATGTAGAGAAAATAAGGGTGCAAAACTCAAAATCTTGTGTGACAAGGGTAGAATTTCCTTCAAATGTGGAATTTCAAAAACTCCATGTATCCTTCATGAGCAGTGTATGGATTTTCAAAGTGGAGGGGTCATGTTTTGAAATCTTTGCTTGGGAGTTGTCGCTGTACATGCTATTGTCACGTGGTTCGATAATGAAGTTGTCACTGTAAATGTATGCGTGGGGTAAGCACTCATAAATAGAGCTGATTCGCAACACCTGCTTTCTGCAAACTCAATACAAGTCGCAATGTGAGAATGATCCCACATAGATAATCCATCCTAACAATCGCCTCTACTGAAGATTCGAAAGCTGCACTGTAATTCAGTCCATCGAACCTCGATTCGTACTGGTCCGTAGCTTCCTCCGTGCAGTCCTTCCGCACAGCAAAGCATAAGATTTCTGATACGGATCAAGTTCCCGAGACTTCACAATTTTCACCACCAGGTCCGGCAAATCCTGTATGCGGAAACTGGGGTTGGGGGCAGTTGATGTGGACCAGGAAGCAAGATTAGTATCTGAGTTAATCGTCAACGCCTCCTCCGGTGGGGCTGCAGGTGAGACACACCCGCATCTTTTCACTTCGATCTGTTTTATCAAACCACGAACCAAAGTAGGACTTTGAGCCTGGATTGGAGCAATACCAGGATACGAACGCAATGTAGCAACTACCTGACGCTGGGTCGCAATGCCAGGCAAAGCGTAAAGAAGCAGAAGAAGAAGCAAACATGGATCGTTGAAGGCCTCGAGCGAGAGATCCTACACAGATTCGGAGTCGGCAACGAGACACGCGACGCTGGCTTCACAATACGGAAGCTATTGAGGCAAATAGTCCCTAAAGACGAATGTAATCCGATGTGGGTGTAGATTTAGAGCAGAGAGTGTAAGATAGAGTCTATAGTGCATGTAATAGTGAGTGAAAATCAACGATTCAGCCACAACACATCCTCCTTGAATATGAGTTTGAGTAGATGACTGCAATTGACACAATGCATTTAAGATTCCTAAATATACACTACTGCTTCTGAACATGGAGTTACTCTACAAGCTAAAAAGAAAGTTTGGTTTTGAATAAGATGAATTGACAAACTCAATATTATTAAGTTGATAATAACTCTAGTTTTTAACTACCTTCTACTGTAAAGATTTTTCACAGTCTAAAAGAGAATGTAACTCGAAATTTTAGACCATAAACTTGGAACAAAAACTGCATGAAAGCAGCAACCTCTACTCTAGTTCACTTTGGTTACAATTTGGTTCTGTAGCATCAGAAGTAAGACAATGATGTGAGTTGTTCACACTTCTATTCATATACTACTGATGAAATCCTTCCATTGTTTGGGACAATTCTTTTTATTTATGACGATTACAAATGTCTTTTTGGATATAACAAGTGGCGGAATTTCATGCAGTTTCATGCAAAGCATTCAATTTGGAGGAACCTCTCCCCGAAAGATTCATGACGGAATCTGATGTAGATTGCTCCAACGACATTAACTGTTAATAACAATACTAAAAAGAAGAAAAATAATAAACAAAAAATTAAAAAAGATTGATGTGGTAATGAGCCCCCAATAATTTCTATTCTGAGATTGTCCGTTTTAGGTTCATCTTTTGTACTTCCTTCGTTCCAAAAGGGGTTACTCATTTATTAATTTGTATTCATTTGTTAATATGTATTCATTTGATTTCAGGATCTTATTATATTGTTAAAATATTTAATATACGTAGACTTGTTTTAAATAAATGTCCTTCACTTAATGGGGGGTTTTTCAATGACCTGGCCTCGTTCACACCGCACTATCGACTGACAAAAAGGCAACCTGAAGCCACGTCATACCTCCACCTACCCCTTAGTATGTCCAGCTGGCCAACCCCTTCGACCTCGTTCACCCTGGAAAATGAAACATCCTTTTAGGTAAACCCATTTTCAATAACTTAAACATTTCAGCAAGTTTGCTGTAAGTGTAAAAATAAAAGAAAAAAATATCCCCATGTAGGGAAATAGAAATGAGGAGGATTCCAAGTGTTTTCACACAATTTGGACCAGTAACAAATTTTATATAAATGTTTTAGCTGAAGATTCTCTTTCACTCATTTTTGACATATATGAAAACCTAATTCTGACCAGAGGTGGGTTACAAAACCAAGAGTCCAATTTTTACAAAACTGTGAAGTATGGCACCTACGTATTCTATCAATTGAAGTGTGACACCTAATCATGCTGTATTATTCCACCTAACCAATCAACAACTGCCATCTATATTAATAGTTTACACATACCCATTTTTGAGTACAATGAATTTTATTTATTACTCACAACTTAACATCATTTTAACCAACCTCCAAACTATTTCAGACCAATGGATGTTAGACTTGGTCAACAATAAGTAACATGGCAAATAGAAATGCCCCACTCTATGAATTGGAAATGAGGGGAGTGGGTTGGCTACCTTAATGGGTTTCTCATTTTGTTGTCAAGTCCAGTGGAATTCCATGACAGAAAAAAAAAAAAAAAAAAAAAAAAAAAAAGAGGTTAAAGCACTGAGAGTTTACTTCTCATTATTCTTCTTTTTTCTTTTTTCAATTTTTCTTGTTCCCTTCCCTGGGCTGCTCTTGGATTCTGTGGTTAACTTTTTCTGATAATTGTACCCAAAGGGAAATGATGCCATGGGAAGGGTGCCCCAGAGTGTAAGAATTGGCTTTGAAGTGGCAGCTGGGTGGACATTCTCAAAAGTTGAATAGTGTGGGTGGGCTTGTCAATATAATAACATACACAAAGGCAAAGTGTGAGCTTGATTGGATGAACATATCTATGAATACACATTGTTGAGCAGAGTCAATTTTTCACCCATTGGCCATTGTGATTATGGGATTGCTTGATTCAATTGAGTAGAGATTGAGTTTTTTCAAGCGGTTGGAACCCATTTGCAGTTGGTCCACAGTTTTTCCAGAAGTCCCATCATTAACACGGGTAGCATAGCAGGTATAATAAAAATCTTACCAATATGGTTGTTGGCTTAATAAAGTGTTATATATATATATATATATATATATGTGTGTATGTGTGTGTGTGAAGAAGAAGAATAAGACCTGTGAATAGTACTTTGAAATCTTGTAACAAGTTCATTCTAAAAGCATGAGATAAATGGAAATGAGTGTGAACAAGCCACAGCGGGTGAGAGAGCTATACTTTAAAAATAAAAAATAAAAAAGCTCTTTTTATGTGTGTGGTTACTTAAACTGTGTACTTTGATTCTTGCTCTCGTTCTTACTTTTTTGGTGATATAAATAATATTAATAAAGAGGATAAGGCAAGCAATTTTAAATCATCTTGTGGAGAGTTGTTAATCTTGCAGCTTCTTATTGAGAGGAAGGAAATTAAGTCAAGAATTTTGCAATAAGATTCTTCATATGTGTGCAAACTATCCTTCATGCTAATCATACAACTAGTCCACATATTTTTAAATAACTCAGCAGGTCTTCAAATGGGGCCACTTCAAATATGGGATGTGGTCCAATCTATTTTGTGGGATATATGTTGAACATTTTCTTTCTTACAGCCAAAACAAGTTCCAGAAAAGGAATGCTAATTATGAGTGATTTGTTTGAGATTTTGTTATATTTACTAGCATCATTCTCATAAATTGACTCATTTTTCTAGTCTTTTGACATGGTGGTCAATGGAGCAAGCATTTAAAAAATTAAAAAATTAAAGATATTGGGATTTTTCACCCACCTAAGCAAATAAAATAGCAACTTACCATCATGTGGTTACAGTATCCTTGATTATTTTACAGTTGTTGAAAGAAGACATGGTGAGTTGAGTTTATTTCTACTGTTTGGGCTGCCATATTGTCACCTTGAGTGTCAATAGACTCAATTGGTTTTCCATTTTATTTTAAAAAAAAAAATTTATATAATTTTTTTGTCAAAGATCATGACACATCATGTATTATGTTTGCACAACAACATAGTTCCCAAACAGTACATGGTCTCATTTATTTATTTATTCATATGCTAACTAAACTAGTGACAACTGTGCCTCTTGATACAGCCCCACTGCATGGCTTTGAAGTGATTCCATTTGTTTTTGTGTAGAATCCAATGGTTACATTCAAGCATGCAGGAATTAGCCTTACAATGAGCTTTGTACTGTTCCACTTCTCTCTTCTTCATCTTCCATCTGCTAGTTATTTGTTTTTGCAGCTTTCTCTTCTAGGGTTTGACCTCCATTCCAACATACCCACTTTAGTGACTTCTTCACAGTGCACTTGTCATGTCATGTTTAAGGGGTATGAGAAAAAGGAGCCCCCAACATGCCACACTCCTGCTGAAAAGCCAGCCTTGTAATATAGAAACATAGCAAGTTGCACATGGAAGTGCACATTGCTGAGGACTTGCATCCTTCAACTTGTTTTTCTCTCCTTCAAGTTGCTGCAAGGTGAGAGAGGAATGAGCATGGTTTGCCAAGCCCAGAGCAGCCATAAAAGCTGTGTGCTCTACAAGCCATGATGCCTCTCCCACAGCACCAATTCTGTGGCTGGCTGATTGGAAGGTTATTGAAGAGTCTCTCTCTCTCTCTCTCTCTCTCTCTCACTAAGCTTAACTGATATGGAATCAATGTTGTTAGAGCAGGGAGTGAACACCAAGTCTATTACCGAATCTGTGTGGGTTTGTTACTGAAGTTGAGAAAATTTCTGCCTTTCTTCATTCGAAGGTTCTTTTTCTCGTTTTTCTTGTAACACTACAGCATCAAGTTACAGCAACATCAGTGGTAAGCTTTGGTTTAGAGGTGGTTATTGTGAACACAAGGATGGTTAATCTTGGAATTGTTTGCCTCATCCTCCTAAACTTACATGCCACCATGAAACCTATGCACTCTGATTTTGTTATTTGATTGTATTTCTATACTAAAGTGAGGATATTTGGATATGGATTTTGAGATATAATAAAAGGTGATTGAATGGACCATTTTCAGTTGTTTGAGTGTTGCTGAACAGGGACCAAATGTTGATCCCCTCCAGTACAAATTGAATATTCATGGAACCTTTATACCAATTCCATTCTGACTCGTTTGATTACTAGGATACATCCAAGTGCTTGACAACATTCTGCACATGGTCACTCTATAATTACAGTCCCCATGCAGGAGGAATGATTTCTAGGTGGGCTAACTTAATCTCTTCCTTATCAGTCAGCTTCAGCTTTCTTGCCCAAAGGTGAAATAGATTCTGTCATCAAGCTCAGGTCCCATAAAATCACACACACACAGACTTCCAAATGTTGACCAAAGGGTTTTGAGTCAACAGTTACATAGCCTAAGCAATGACTTAGGTGCACAGGGCATGTGACCTAGCTGCTGAGAGTTGGACTTCAAACAAAAGTCATCCTAAATGTTCTTAATGTTAAAAGTTGGAACCAATCTCCATGCAGATGGGTTGCCATTACTGGGCCACTGTGTGTGTGGGTCTCTACTCCCAAGCCCCACAAGAAACTGTCAGGAGAGCCATCTCCAGACTCATTGTACAGTAAGGCATTGCTCAACAACCATTGCTTCTAGGAAGTCTCTGACTCAGTATGCAGAGTTCAGATGGTAAAACCCTCCAAGTAAACTTTCTGAGTGCAGAGCCTTCAGTCCCCTCAGGAGTGCGAGCAGAAGCTCTAGGCTCTGGGACCTAAATGATACTTGTATTACATACAGTACTTCAGTGCAGAACTGTGGGTCCATCGCTAGGTCTAAACACAACCTCCATAAAACGTCAGCTTTACGCGCTTTCTGACAAGTTCGAAAATGATGAGAATGTATCCCACTTTGTTGGACGGAATCACAACACTAAAGGAACAGAAATAACACCCGCAAGTATGTACCACTTGCAAATAGTACAGGTTGAAGTAAAGAATAAAACATAATCACACCAGCTTGAGGAAGTGATCATTATTTCATTGAAGGTTAAAGGGGTACAGAGGACCCCTGCTTTCATTTGTGTACACGTCAAGACTGATTTGCGAAGCTAATATGGCACAAGGAAGCTATGTCAAGAGCTCGCCAGAAACCACACTTGACTAGGTGACTTGCATGCAGCAACAGCGAGCTTAACAATGGATGCGAGCTAACACAATCATGAAGGGCGGGGCGGGAAGAAGACCGGAGGAAATGTTAGGGTGGTGGTGGAGTGGCGATGATGGTGTAGAAAAATTCCTACACCTTTGCCCTTGGATGCGTGCCCTGTTATAAAAATGTTGTACACCTACTATCAGTCACAAATACACTCTACAGGTTGTGGTTCCAGGACTAATGCATCCCAATTTCGCTAATGCAGGCAACACATTGAGACGTCTCTAATTGTCTAAGAGAAAGCGTTTGATACAAAGTCGCACGGGCGGAACGTGTTTGATATCATGGAGGCAGTCACTGTGGGTCTGTCTTCAAGGTCCAACCGGCTAAATCGCCTGCACCAATCAAACAATTAAAAAAATTAAAACAAAAAATGATCAGCAAAGTAGAATTCTCTGCTCATTAATCTACGATCATTTGTCCCATTTCAACATCTTCCCTATCTTTACCTTCATTTTGGAAGAAGAGTACTCACGACTTTGATTCATGCAAAGCCATGAACGGAATAACTCTATCATTCACTTAACAGGTAAGTAAATTGGTTCAAAGGGTGTCAGATCCTGAAGGTGATCTCCTCAATTGTACTTGAGATATTCGCAGAAAAGGGATAGAGGTAATTACCGTGAGCGATAAACCTCTTGTTAAGTCGGTTATTAATAGCAGTTAAATCCTTCGAAGGACTTTGGTAATCTCTGGTGCTTTCTCCCACACATGCGTAAAGAGTTCTAGTACGAGGAGACATCAACTTATCAACCTGCAAGCATGAAAACGTTGACGAAAATCACATCCTTTATTCAAAATCTACGAAGGTCGGTGGATATATGCACTACACTTCATCCACTGGATCGACAGAAGCTTGTGAAGCTCCAATACAAACGACAATATAAAATTTGCATACCTTGCTGGATCTAAGAGGGGATACGAACACATTGTGCAAAGCAGAGACCTTCTTCGGAGAAATGTCTGGGAATGTTGAAAAAATCGAAGCTACAGGAGATCCTGGAGCCTCACCTGCATACATGATATGCAAGGTTAGAAAAATAGTAAATGAATTCGGTCAGTTTCCTCACTAAAACCAGTGGAAATCAGCAGGATATACCGATTGAGTGGGAGAAACGCAAATGTACACCTTTTATGATTATGACTTCCATTTCATCTTTAAGCAGCTTAGATATCGTACCATCATTTCCGTCAGATCCATGAGCTTTTCTTGGAGATCGCATACTAGAATTCGTATCGACTTGCACTAAGAACTTCTTTGTAACATGTACAAATACATCGTTGTAGAACTTGATAATGTCACCCGACTCGAGCCCTCCTGTTTTCTGCACGTGAGCAAAATTCAATTCTATCAACAAACTATTACTCCAGGATGAATAACAAAACAACTAGTATATTTATAGTGGGAAATTCCCAGTTGAATTTCACATAGCAAAACTTCCGAGTTTCAAATCAAAACTCACAAAAGAAAACAGCTGTTACTAAGGGCTGCAAATGTATACCCCTGCACGACGTAACGGAGGTTGGTCTATAAAGACGTTGCGGACAACGTGCAGCTTGTTCTGTGGCTGTGATCGATAATGATGGATGATGTCACGAAATTTTACATCCACTTTGCTAACCTGAAAGTTTATCCACAATGTCATTCTCATAGCCATGTCACATGAATGGCGATATGAACGGAAGCCCGATACTGAATATGATGGCTTCTGTTACAGAAGAGCATACATTTGTCAAATACGAAGAGGTATATTATAAGCATCGATTATGGTGCTAGGGTGACGATCAGATAAAACGACAAACCTTACAAACGCCGTAGATGGTGCACAAGACCAGTTGATCTATATGACGGTTGAAGAAAAGGCTAGTTTCGTGATGTAGTGCATGTTGAAACACCTTGTATACCCGTTCGATCAGGTGTTGTGGTTGCCCTATTCGTTCGCACACAGTCCGTATCCTAACTGCTGCCAATACAAGAGCCTGCTCACAAAGATGAATTGTTCTTAAAATCTAAATCATTTTTAGTCCTTTGAAATCGAAAGCCAAGAACCATACAAAGAATATATTAAATTGTATCCTCTATCGAAAACAGCTTCAGAACCTTGGCAAGGCCACCACAAAGTCACGTGAAGAAGATTATTGCAAGGAATCCAGTAAAAGAAGGAAGACTATAGAGTTTCACTTGATTCTTTCAGCCTTGTATGCAAATTACCTTTTGAAAGAACACATTGATAACTGTGTCTGCGCAAGTCTCTCCCCCTCCTAGTGGACTTGGTCTCTGCGGACTGTAACATACGACACGGATGAGGGAAATATCACAAGTTTTACACAATGTCTTGAAATAAAATGGTGGCAGAAAGGCTCTTGTTCTTTTTCTTGTATACGAAGAGTTACACTATATGTACTTAATCAGTACCCACATAACAATTACCCATGTGGATGAAGAGAATGGAACAAGGCGAACCTCAGATAAAGGATAAACACCGAAAACAATCACACATACCTAGCAAACGCTGATTGCAATGGGGCTCGAAGACGATTTCTCATAGGCGAACTGAAAGCAGAAAAAGCCGAAGGTCGATCTTTGACGGGTGAGAGAAAACCTGCTTCTGATGTTGACGATCCATTCTGAGGAGGTGATGACGCACTAGTAGGTGTATGTGCCGCACAAGCTACCTCACCTGAATCAAGTTCACAACAATAGCGTGAACATCACACATTCAAACACCATACTTCCCTTGTTCGTCGGAGCAACAGCCAGTACCCACCCAAGATTTTGAGCTAAACGAAAAGCTCTAGGGTAGGGTTACAGTTATAAGTATTTTTATTTCATTCAAAATAGTACATACTGCGAATAATATTGCTCTTGAACTAGGTGAGTACCTGAGTGACCCGATTTCGAAAGGCCCGGAATGCGATGCATGACAGTGGCTGGCCGTACTTGAGTAGCGAGGTTCTCCAGTGCTGGCATTGGATCGGCCAGCAAACATAATCGATTGATCTCATTTGCCAGTGAAGGTCTGGCAACTATGAGCGAGTTGTACATAGACGATCCTTTCTCCCACGCCATGCTCTCGAGTATCCTTTCCTCTATTGTATTGAGATGCCTCTTCAGCTCGCGAGGTAAAGTTTCTTCATGTCTGACAAAGTATTCAATTACTTTGCTCAAATCAAAAGCAGTTATGCCTGCTGGCTCCAAAACCGCGGGGAAACCCATTGTCACCGTCTTATGAGTAGCAAGAACAAGTTCCGCAGAACAGGCAATCATGCATCGATGAAAACGTTCATTCGAAAGAAGAGATGTTAGATTGTGAGTATGCAGCCTTTGTTCTTCAGAGCGACACATAGCTCCTAAAACTTTGTAGTATAACTTGATAGCTTCCAGTTTACGCTGCTCAGGCCAAACATCCATTAACCCAGCCACACCCTGCCAGCCTCCACCTCTCTCCGCTGAAAATATCAAATCCAATAGTACATGAGCTCTGTTCTTTACATCAGCGGAGATATCCCGATCACAAGAGCGGAAAAACAGCTGCAGCTCCACAGAAGGCTCTGCAGCCAAGGGTGTTATCACAGTTCGCAGCCACTTTGCAGTTGTCATTGTGATGGTTACAGGGGTGGATGGGGGCCTCTTCCCACCACTAGAACCTTGAGTGCCCATATGTTTCACTGGCGATGACCAGGGAGACGCAGCTGGTGATGATGGTGCTGCTCCCATTGAGAAAGCCCCAAATCGCACAGGCGACGCCATGATGTCAAACTTACGCTGATAAACAGGAACGTTTGTAAGTGGAAAGGAACTTTTAACTTTACTGCACCATAAAAACAGCTTTTACATTAAAGGAAAGTCATAAAGTGTTCCCCTCGCCAAAAACGACGTTATATTAAGCCAATGCAACAGCATCTCAGTGATTGGGAGACACGGCACCACTCATCAACATGCAATGAAGGTACCAAGAATAATACCTTTGAGCCAGAGAAACGTGGCGATTCATTTGACAGCGTTCCCAATAGACCATCTTCCCCATTAATGAACATTCGTTCATCAAGCCCCCCTCGACTCTGATAAGAATCTTCGTAATCTTTCTCCAACATGCGCAAATTCGCTGCAAGAGACTTTTTGTCCATGAGCCCTTCCAAGTAAGCCAGCCCACCTGCTCACAGCCAGGTAAATCTAGTCTCTCAGACCAATCCGAATGAACACGACTCCCCAATGAGGAATGTGAACAAGAACAAAATAGAGATCTGAATTTTCTAGGCTTGTAAGTAGGTTTGCAAACTTTCTAAGACTCCTATTACGGGCAAACATGATTTGAGATACTAAAGACGCAAAACTACCTCACCTAAATACGTCAATAGCTAAATTTAAGGGCTCATACAAGTCGTTGATCACACATAATCCATATAGTTGCCGTGACAATATATCCAAACTCAAAACTAACCATCAGCTCTGCTGAGATGACTTTCATACTAGGGAATCAGAGATAGATGCTAGCCTGGATTGATCCCCAAAAAATGCTCAAGGGTTTGGGACCCATGTAAACCCTTCATAGGCTTCCCGAATAACTTGCTGATTGTAGCATTAGCCTTCTCCAGGAGGCTCGAGACATCTTCATCAGCTGCATAATACGTGGCGCACAAGGACGCAACAAGATCAACTCCCTCCGATGATCTTTTGGCTGCCCACCAGATGACCACGACATATTAGAGCAAAGACACCAAGAAGTTACACAGGAAAACGAACAGGAAAGTTATGTTCCTTACAAAGAAGAGAGCGTAGGCAACGAATGATAGAGACAAAAAAGTAACGGAAAACAACCGAATAAAACTATGTTTTACTGCTTCTCCAGCCTACTGGGATAGAATATTGCCTTGGAACTTACCAAACCTCACTGGATCTTGAAGTGAGAACTTCCGTAAATCAGGCGGCATGTGAAGGATCAAAATAACCTGGAAAAGCAAACAGACTCAGATTGCACTGCACCTTGACATTCAAGTTCACTAAATTCTGTTTATCTGCATCAGTATTATATTAAGCATTGACAAGTATACGTCAAAAACAGCAACGCAACAAAGACGAACTCACTTGCATAAAGACGAAGAAACAGAAACCCAGGTTCGATTTAGACCAAGCCCCACTTAAGGGTTCACAAAACTACAGCACATACAAGCAGAATATTATAACTACTGTCTTTCATATTCGCCTAATAGACAGACATGCCAATTATTAAAAGCACTAACCATGACTGCCATGAGGGCATTGGTGCAAGTGACCAAGTCACTGAATTGCTGAATAACATGCATCCGCAATGCCAAGAAGAGCATCCATCCAAATTGCATGTGGACAGAGACATGATGTTCATCTCTAACTCCTGATAAGGATCGGCTGACAATGTTGGTAAAAGTGTCTGGTGATAAGAAAAAATCTTGATATACTCGCTTAAAATACCTACAAAACCCCCATAATAGAGGTTAATTACGCGAACTTTCCCCACGACGGACACAATCTAACGCAACGCTAGAACATAATACAAGTACATAAACAGAAATAGATATACAGTGAACTTACGTGAAAAGCGCTGTCAAATGAACAAAATTAGCTTGAACTTCCTTGACCTGTGCACAACACAAAGCCTTAGGCTCAGCGACTTAGAATAAATAAACAGAATGTTCCAAAGTGCGAATGGCCAACGCTAACATACTCAACACAATCTTAGCACTCGTAACCTAAAGATAGAGTTTAAAAACAAGTGTGATTTGACAACCTGAAGCCGCTTCTCCCACTCATCGCCATACATTTGCTTCACAATCGGCCCCACTTTCACAAGAAAATGTGGAAGCTCCTTGAAAAACTCAATCACACTGCTAAGTCAAAACATGTTAGTACTCGTTAGCTGTATGAAATGAAATCTTATGGACGAAACTGGTATCACAAAATGCGATACTTACGAGTAGACACTCGGTGATAGCACATATAGAAATCATATCCAATTCACGGGCGTGCCTGATTTTAGTCTGTCGCATAAGCTGAGACAGTGTAAACCCCACTGCATTGCTTTCTGATTTATCCCCGTCGACTGTGGCTCCACAGCTCAAAGCTTTCACAACATACAGAACGCAGCCACCCCATAATCGCTCCGTATCTTCCACCTGGTGAACAACATCCACTATTACTTTCAGCAGTAGAGCATTCCATGAAATCCAGCCTAGTGAAAATGAAAAGCTATTCGTCTTGTTATAAACAGTAAAGAATCATTAAATAACATGAAAGTATTGATGGACAGGAATGCTTACGATGAGACATGATTTCAGAAACGAAACAGGGCAAAAAACTGAATGCCAATTGTGAGACATGTGCAAGGATCACAGTATTTAGTTCAGACCTACTTACCGTGCTAGTCCCTATGCTGTCAATATTGGCAAGGAGCAATGGTTTGCTCTCTTTAAACAAACGCAGGGCTTGCTGCAACGTTGGGTCATCCAGACAAAGGCCAACCTGCTCCACAATACAAATTCAGATGTTTACACAATGCGGAGTGTTTTCAGTTCAACTATCTGCGATAAGGCTATTTATCTTCCTATGTGTAACTGAAGGTTGTAACAATGTCCAGAATTCTCAGATTAGACCATACCTCACAGTGCTCTCTGAACCGACCCTCCAATCCCTCCAGGTATACGGGTGACCAAGCCTTCTTCCGCGGCTTGATGTCGCCACCATTAGGAGTCTTGTCTCCCAGCCCAGCTCTACTTGACTTTGTTGGAGTTTCATAACCACTTTCTATGTTGTCTTCCACGGGCTCTTGTTTGCAGAAGACCTGTGAGTCCTCTATGTCTGCCTGCTTTACACTCTCCGACATAAGGGAGCTTTGCCTGTGGGACCTCACTTTCACCTCCCTGAGCACAGGTCCCGCGCGCTCCATTTCCAGCGCACGCATAACTTTAACAATTAAGGCGGAATCTCATACCACAACAACTACAATAATAAATCGGCTGCTCTTTACCCCATGACTCAATAGAAAATTTCCTCTGCTTGCAAAGGTCAGTTGCGTCTCGAGCGCGATCCTGCCAAGAAGTGAAAAGAGCGTCAATTCTTCGACAGTAACAGATTGGTACCTAAGATAGCACAATGAAGCTTTCACACGCTCTGATCACACATAGGAGAAAGCGCTGCCTTCAGGTAGGTGCATGCAACGAATTAAAACATTTGCAATTTACAATGCGGAAGCAAATTCGAGTCCACAGAGTCCAAACAACTACGCTAGAACTTTTACCCACACTACACCACCAACATCTACAAGAACTTAATTTTCTACCCTCACAGTATGTTAAGACATATGTGCAGCTGCTGCTGTTAACATGAAATCTATTGACCAGCAGAGGGAAACAGACAGCAGTTGATAGGGTTCATGTATGCCTAAGAGCGCCATAACCGTTCAAGTACATGATATGCCTTCTCAGTGATGGGCAATGGTCCAATTGGAACACAGGTTGCAATTCACGAGTTTAGGATCTTGCAAGAGAGATGCTATTACAAACGAAAATTATGAGGTTTCATATGGAACACAGCTTCAGCACGAATACTTCTAAAGATAATGCTTCTTTCATATATCAACCTTTCGGTGTCGACCGAGATCTCCGAACGTTTCCACTTCACCCTCCACCGACCCTTATCCAACTCTTTTCAATGCAAATCGATATGCTTAACCTCAACCGCTTAGCCAGAAATAAAGTATGATCACGCCTCTTCGCTCAAAAGTCCAATGCACGACCCTGTAGTTGGAAAAAAAATTGAGGTTAGATCAAAGAGGGCTAGTTTCACGGAATGAGGCTTTTACTGCAGTGCTGGTACGAGACAGAGAAAACATGCGAAATAGAGAGGCATCCGGGATGACAACTTCGTTCTCTAACAGAACGAAAGGCTCCATTAGCATATGTTCACAACATCAAGGCTGCAAGTCACTTTGCATTAATTCTAGCGAAACCACCAGAACTACAGCACTCTTATTAGACAAACAAGGTGCAAATGGGCTTGGTTGTGCAAGGAGGTGGCGCATACACCACAATGCAACAACGCAATAACCACCTAATCTAGATAAAGATTACCGAGGGAGTCGGGAGTCGAGATGTGAACTAACTAAAGAACAAATCAAGGGAGCGTAACAGAGACCTCCTGAGTCAATGGCGCAATAACTTCAACACTTGGAAACCGAGGATTCTAACTCTTGACAAAACTGTGACATCATCAAATCTTACAACGACATCAACACAGAACCAAACGTGTAGCGCTTGCGACGGACACAAACCTTGAGGCGGGAGAACCCGACAAACAGTGCACACAAAATATATGGCCACCACCACCCCCCTGTAATCAAGCCATGAAAACCAAAATAAACGCCAGCGGCGCTTACCGCGCAAGCTTACGATTTAATGAACGGAAGATGCGCTGCAAGCAAATCGACACCGACCGAGCCCCATGAGATGATTGACTTGTACGTACAAACTCCTCCTCCCCAAAAAAAATTCAAAAAAAATGAAACTGAAAATGAAAAATCCAAGTCTAAATCCACTCTAGGATTGAAACCTCCGGCGAAGATTGGCAAGGGATGAATGTGCGCCCCACGGCGTGATCAACCGCAGTTCACTTACCTCTTCGAAGTTTTAAGTTATACCGCCTGAATGACAGCCTGACAACAGAGAGACTATCGGGAGTGAACGACGACAATCGAAACGCTGCAGAGAGAGAGAGAGAAAGAGAAAGAGAGAGGGAAACGGACCGACGAGCAACGAGGCGACCGAGTCGCAGGCAATGACAGAAGCGAATGATCAGCGCGGAATTCGGTGGAGGAGTTACGGCACAGAGGATGGAGGCTATGGCGGGCTCAGAGGGAAAAGGGAGGGAAAAAGAGAGGAAGCAACAAACAGTCGTGACAGCCCCGAACACGATTCCCAACGAACAGAAGAAGCAAGCAAGCGCAATGGATCGATCCCTTGCCCCCCGCTCGGGACGGGAGAGACGAGTGCCACGCCGTTCGTCCCCAACCACCGTTTTCCCGCCACTGCCCGCGTTCTCATTCCGAATCTTCGCTCCCTCCCTTAAGACAGACGTTCCCTATCCGCTTCCTCTCTGTCGACACCTGGGATCGAACGGAGCATTCCCTCGGTTCCCACCGTTCCCACTCACGCATTCTGTTCGCTCTGCGAGATCAATCATCGAGGGTCGCTTAGTGCATGGGAAGTTACTTCCAACTTAGATGACCTATTTTTTTATCATTTCACTCCAATGAAGCGCTCTCTCTCTCTCTCTTGCCAGTGGTAGAATTCAAACCGTGCGGGGAATTGGACATGGGTTAGTTTTTATCCCAACGGCCTTTTGTCTACTTTGAATGATGAAATTCAATTGCCAGAACACTTACCAACCTTCTTGAATTTTATTTTTTTTCACCACAAGAATTGCGGTATTTTGTCATTAAACTATCTTTTTCTTTTTCTCCCTATCCAAATTCAGAATGCAGTTACATCCTGTGTGGGGAACCTGAATCAGCCTCCGCTGGGTTCTTAGCAATTTTGCCACTGGTTTGAGATGCACTTGGTGCTGGCTGACATTCCCCACCCTCCCACAAACTTCAATTTAGACCAGGTCAGTATGAGTCTCTCTCTTTCTCTTTCTTTCTTTCAGGGTTAAATCACCACCCCCCCATGCTGGCTGGCCCTGAGGTTTCTCCCATGTCTATCTATCTGCAGAGAAATGCTAAGCCATTGTTCATCCTTATCTGATGACCAATTGGGTGTTATGGCCAAGAGTGGGCTCCATCACTGGGGGGTGGCTACAGAAGGGAACTAATGATCAGCCCTAGTCAATCAAAACCCAAAATTCAAACCAAGCTGGGAGGGAAAAACCACACTGCCAAATTTAAACTGATTGTCTGATACTAAGCTGAATGCTTCTCTTCTCTCATCATTGGATCACCCACATCGGGTAAGGGACATTCACACATTCATACATAAGAACTGCCTTTTAGGGTTTTGCCTTTTGTAGGGTTTGGTCCCACCTGGGATGGTGGCTCCCTGTGTGGGTCAAAATCAGTACCGTATTTTTTGGTACTCCCCATTAGTTCAGGAACTCTCCATTTGCCTTCCTTCTCTTTTTTTCTTTTTTTCTTTTTATTTTAATGTTAAACTGGTTTCAGGTGTAATGCATTCAACAACTAACTAATTACTCATACATGTCTCCATACATTACTCTTGTGTTTCCAAAAGCTTCCTCTTGCTTCCTTCCTGGAGACATGTCCCACATTGAAGAGATAGCAACATTCTATTGACACATGTGTGGTGAGAATATCAATGCCACACATGAGTCATTGAAGTTATTTTATTTTATTGTTCATTGATGAGTGAGACAAAAGTGAATGACAACCATTCTGGTGTGAATACTCTTTGTATTGTTCTAAAATTAGTTTCTTAAAATTTTTTCAAGATAGTGAAGCTACATTTTTTTGTGCAAAAATTGTTGAATGTCAATTCATTGCAAAATATTTCATCCATTGGTAATATTGCTGGAATGATGATTTGTTAACCATACACCAGAGGCCTTCATGGGAAAAGTAAAATTAATAAGTTTAGAGATAAACTTAACAAGGCTTAAATTGAATGTTAATAATGAAGTTTCAAATACACCAAGTTTTTAGATTATACTCTCAGAAAATTTTAATTTTTTAAAAAATATCACATAATGCTAAAACACGTACTTTGTAACTTATTTTAAAGTGGATGTATACTATCCCTTAAAAGAATATTTAAAAGATTAAAAACTAAAAGTATATTGGTTACAGAAATGTTTGATGCTAGAGGAACCAATAAGTTACAAAGTCGTTTTTTTTTCTTTTTTTTTTTTGTAAATAAATTGGAAAGTTATTTATTAAAACCCAATCAACCACCACTTTGTTTAAAAAAATATGTGCTCTGAGTTTAGTCTGGTTTTAATACACAACAATCAAGAATTTGAATATGCTGCAACCACAAAGTGTTTGAAATTGAAGAATCAAGGCTTTTCAATCTAAGAATGCCCAGAAAATTAGATCCTAAAACATGTTCAAGAAATATTATTCTTCAAACATTCATGTCTGTTGGCTTTTATTCCAGAATATTGTACTTCTTTTAACTATAAAGTTGCAGGGAGCATTTACAAATTGTATATTGTAGTTGATAAAAACATTTCAAACATATTACGTAAGGGCCAAGGTGGTCAATATTCACAAAACTATGTGTCCATATTTAGCATTTCCAACAATCTCACACACATGTATACATACACATAAACATGCTTACATTCAAGGTTTAATAATATTATCTTATTGCATCTAATTATTTCAACCATGCCACACAAACCAAATACAAAAGCCATGTCACATGTATGATCCATATAGACCTTCGTATTTATTTCATTTTTTGTATCACTAAAGTTTAATTATTTTTCTTCATAAAAAGCAACACACCACCACTCAACAAGTTGTCTATTTCCAATAATTCCATTACATGATCATTGATCTACTATGAGATTTAATGTCTAAAACATCCCTAAAAACAAAAAAAAGAGGATAAATCATTCATATATATATATACAATATATTATTTGTATTGTACAATTTGTAAATGTGTATATTGAAACATATTGTATATATATATATATATATACAATTGAGAGTACATAGTACATCAAGAGATTTGTGTGAGGGGTTTGTTCATAAACAGAGGCTGCCCAGGTACCATTAGATACCACAACATCTACGTAACAAGGACCATGGTCACTAATAAAAAAGGACACAATCCCCCATAGCTACCACCCACATGTCAAAGGGTTTTGTAGGAATCAATCATATGGAAAATGGCTCTATTGGCCCTACCCTAGAAATATTCAACCTTCCATCATGTTTCCTAATGCACCTATCCCCCCCCCTAAAGTAGAGAAAAAGTGCCTTCCTATTCTAGAACCCACATGAATGGTGGCTATTTGTTTGTTGGTTATAAAAATAAAATAAAACCACCAAAATTCCATTGTGTCCATGTGTGTGAAAAGAAGCAAGTGGATGCATGAGAAGGGAGCAGGGGGAAGGAACCTGAAAGAGAGAATTAAAAAAAAAAAAAAAAAAAAAAAAACACATTTTAAATCCATATTCAAGAGCATCTTAAAGCAGCTCCTGAATTGGCAGTGAAGATGAAGTGTGTATCATCCACTTGAATGATATCGGTGGAAATGGACGAATGATGAATTGGATGAAAGAGCATGGCTTCCTTGCCATCATGGCAATGCTCTTCTAATAGAAGGGGAAAAAATTAAAATTAAAATTAAAAAAATTACCCACACTTCATCCTCTGCAACTCAAGCAAAAGTTGACATCCATGGGTGCATTTAAAACTCATTTCATGTTGGATTCTCATCCAGTGCATGTGTGAGGTGGATTAGTACTTAATCAAGGCTTGATTAGTGGTGTTTAGGAATGGCCATACGATTTATTTATTTCTATATATATATATATATATATATATATGTTCTATGTTAAAGTTTTAATTACCCACATACACAATGACCTACAATTTGAAGGTACAAGTGAAGAAAGGATGCTCTCTGACTAAAACTACCAAGTTTTAATTATCCAGTTTTTTAATTTCCTGTTTTTAAAATCCTTCAGATCCTTGATGATGGGTGGAAAGCGTCAGCTTCTACTGGGAACCCTAAAAGCCTCTACAGAGGAAAAGGCAAAAAAAGGGTTCTTTTTACAGCTTTTGTGTAGCCACATTGGAAAAAGGTGGATGCTGGGTCACGTTCTGTCAAACAATCAGAGGGTACCAAACCATCATTTGAGTTGAGCATGGCTCATGTACTGTGACAACCACTGATGGATTGACAATGACTTAGGGGAGGAAAAAAAACTAAATAAAAAACCAAATCAAACTGAAAAAATTACAACCACTGCTCTTGCAATTTTGTAGTAGTCGTTTATATTTTATCATCAGTATGGATATTGATATCTCTCTATGTATGTTCACATACTCACAGACACATGTGTGACACTTGTTTCTACAATATATTTGTATATACACATATCTATTGTGTGCTGGGCTGTCTGATTGTGTGCCACTCACTACCTTTCCCTCTAATATATATATATATATATATATATATATTTTAATTTTATATGAAAAGATTGTTGTGGAAGCAACTACAGAATGGATGACACACTGTATACATGAAAATATTAGAGTGTTTCTGTGCAGGAGTTCTGCCTAATCTAACATACCTTGTTTAAACTTAGGACTCAAATATCATTGTGAGGGATGGATAGATTAGATGTGATTATTGATTCTACTTCTTGTATATGTGTGTATATATATTATCTATTTTTGAAATTATATAAATATATATATATATATATATATACACAGAGATACTTACATTTAATTTTTCACACATGGTACATGAACAGTGCTGGATATCCCAATTCAACCTACCACAAATCCTTTCAAATCTTTGCAGCAACCCACCATCCCAAAGAGGGTACCACAATTGTTCCTTTCCAACATTGTGGGTTTTTTAATAAATGGAGAAGATTAATGAATCAATTTTCTGCACCTAACAATTTTTTTTTAAAAAACATCTTTCCTCTGTTCTCTTTTTTCTTGACAACATAAGGAAGAAGAAGCAAAAGAAGAAACTAAGTGTACACCCTGGCATCCAAGTCATGGCATTGGACTGTAATGAACTCTCATTCCATTGTGTTTATCAAAACCATGAACTCACTCACTCAAGTTCTCTTGATCCCATTTTTCAGTTTCTGAACATCCAAGCCTTAGGTGTGGTGTACACTCACACTCACACTCACTAAGTACAGGTATGGTAGGCAGGGATAGCAATACTGGCAGGGGCAGGCAAGCAGGTGGGCAGGGTAGTGCCCATACAAAACAGTTAACCAGATGGGGAAAAAAAAAAAAAAAAAAAAAAAGGAAAAAAAAGGGAGGGTAAAAAAAAGGTTTAAAAAAGGTTAAAAAAGTCGCACCCTCCAGCTATTGTGTGATGAAAAATAAAAGTAATAAAAAGGAAATAATAATAATAATAAAAATACAGGGAAGAAGCTAATGAAATGAGGTTGTGGTCCTTTTCTGGGGTGTGCATTTGAGCTGTGGGGGGTGGTGGCATCACAAGTCAGCCTGCAATGAAACAGAAAGGGGCAAGAAAAAGGGCACTACTACTCCAATAATGGACTCCAATGAAGAGGACACCAGAACTCAACACCCATCCACCCATCCACTATTTCACCCACCCAACATCCACTCAGCCATCCATCCACTCAGCCATCCATCCACTCAGCCATCCATCCACTCAGCCATCCATCCACTCAGCCATCCATCCACTCAGCCATCCATCCACTCAGCCATCCATCCACTCAGCCATCCATCCACTCAGCCATCCATCCACTCAGCCATCCATCCACTCAGCCATCCATCCACTCAGCCATCCATCCACTCAGCCATCCATCCACTCAGCCATCCATCCACTCAGCCATCCATCCACTCAGCCATCCATCCACTCAGCCATCCATCCACTCAGCCATCCATCCACTCAGCCATCCATCCACTCAGCCATCCATCCACTCAGCCATCCATCCACTCAGCCATCCATCCACTCAGCCATCCATCCACTCAGCCATCCATCCACTCAGCCATCTATCCATCCACCTACTCATCCATCCATCCACCTACTCATCCATCCATCCATCCACCTACTCATCCATCCATCTGTGTGTGTGTGTGTTTGATTTTGAATGGACATGGTGCAGTGGCGACATAACATGAGGGAGGGAGTGAGGGAGTGATCCACCCCAGCAATGAGTGAGTGGTAGAAGGAAGGGTGTGGAGTCTCCATCTCCAGACCCCCCCTTCTTGTCTCTTGAGGTACCATGAAGAGTCACACACACACACACACAGAGACACACATAGAGACACACTCTCTCACTCACTCTCACACTCTCTCAGACCATTGAGAGTGTGGGTTGTTGTTGTCTTCCTCTGCTTCCCTTCCCTCCTTCTCCTTCCTCTGTCCCTTCTTTTTCCTTTCTGAAGGGGACATGCTTTTGTTTTTTGCAGTTCCACTGCCATGGGGCGGTGTACAGGTGGCACTAGTAACTATTCCTTCATCACTGCCATTAAGCAGTGGATGATTATCTATCTTTTTATACATCTATGTTTGGTAGCTTCCCTGGAATGTTGTATGAATTGTTGAAGAGGCGAATTTGTAATTAAATGCAGAATATATATATATATATATATGTATATATCAAAGCTATTAATTTTTAAATTTTCCTTCTCCTGATTATTATTCTTTTTTGTTTGAACATGGTGGTGGTTTTTATTACACATTGTTTACTGCTTCATGTGGATGGTTGACATTGTTGGTAATTGGTTGGCAGGTAGTGGTTGCAGTTAGTATATGAAGCATAGGTGTCATAACTTACAAGGTAATTGTGTGGATTGGCAAAACTTGTGTTCTAATGGTATGTGAATCTTGTTAAATAGGGTGGTTATTAGTGTGTATGTCATGAATTTGCAAAACTTGAAGTCATTTAAACTCAAAGATTGAGGCTCCAACATTCTGATTAAGTTTTTGTAAATTTGATGCTTAAATGTAATTAACTCATATGTGTGTGCACAATTAACATCTAATTCAATAATGCACTTTTTTACATGGTTTGACAAACTTGTATGAGTAAAAATACTTGCACAAAAAATGTATTATATATATATATATATATATATAGTATAATGGACCATAGTACTTGTATTGAAAAACTAAAATAATCAAACAATTTTCGAATATAATGTACAATATGGCATCAAAAAACTAATATTATGTATATATAATATGAAGTTACAAACAAAACCAATGAATACCTTCATTGAAATTATGTAACATGATAAAATAGTTACTTCAACATAGAGAAAAAATTAATTTTAATAATTGACTTGATTTTGTGGGAAAATGAACAGTTTTAAATGTCCCCACACAATCTCCACATAAAACTCCAATTGTAGACGTTCAAGGAAACAAACATACGAATTAAAAATTAAAAACTTACTCCATTGACGGTTGTATTTGTTTATCATGATTCATAGATTTAATTTACTAAATAGTTTTGTGATTCATTCATCTATCAAGTGTGTGTGTTTACATGTATATAAAAAAATAAAAAAATATATATACACACACATCTACACACAAATATGCAGTCCTCACACAAACCTGCCCTAACCCAGACTTGTATGAAAGTTTTGGCCTACTGAACCTTCATAACCTAATCTAGGGTAACTGTTTATCTTGTACTTGTGTAAACTTTATAGTTTTAGGAAATTGTCAGACTTCTCTGAGTTTTCAGACATTGAAGCTTAGCTCTAATTTTAATGGAGACAGTTTGAAACTTTGGTTCTAAACCTATATTGTGTAATTATAACATTAGAAAATGTATAATAAATCAATTCTATGCAAAAGGAATCTTTCATTACCATTTTGGATTGAGAATGAACTTGAAGCAATGTATACATTCAATAAATGGCTTATCGCAGTTGGATAGACACTTAAGCCATTAAAATAAGTAAATTATAGTCATTGTTTCAAGTTCTTTATTATACCCAACTGATTTTGCATCAAACTCCAATCAATAATTTAACATAAAAGCTAGATTTGCATAACATCCATTTCAAAGAATTGCCTTGTAAACGGAAGCACAAATTCTTCAGCTGTTGGAATAATGAACATGAATACTGCATTCAATGAGAAAGTGAACATCCATGGCATGCAACATGACCACAATGGGATATTCTCACACAAGTCTCTCAACTCGTTAATCTCAGATGGGATGTTCAAACCTAGACAATCTTTGACAAAGGGTGGAATCACAAACAACAAAGATAATCACACAACGAGTCAAGTAATAATGCCTACAATAAGGTTATTGACCAAACATAGTTAAGCTGAAAAAAAAAATGAAGCAACTCCAGATTGTTGAGCAGGCAGTGTGTTAAGCTCCGATGTCGATCATACGAGCCTTGTGTCTGCATTCCTGAGCTGGATCGCCGCCACAACCACCACTGGCGCAGCATCTAGCTACAGATCACACACTCCTTGAAGCTCAAAGAGTGCTTGGATGGAGGAAAGCCGACGATCGATTAGTTTGCCACTGAAAAAGGCGCCGAAGTGAACTCCAGTAGACGTCCAGTTTCGGTTCCGAGGTTCTGCGCAGGGGCCGTTTGATGGCGTCTTGTGCAACAGAACAAAGTGCTGCGACTTCCAACGGATCTGGACCGTGAAGGAAGAGCTGGTCGGAATCGTAGACCGGGCTTGTAATTTTCATTCTGGGACCTAGGCTGTCTATGTCTCCGATTAAAAGGAGGATCTGTGGTGGTATTCTTGCGCTGAGTCTGAGACTCGACGAAGAAGAACTTGAGTTAAGATGATTACTCGAAAAACTAGCGAGTCCCAGGTTTCAGGATTGAAGAAATACACTCGCTTTCATGCTTGAGACGAACTGAAGATGCCGAGGGTACATGGGTTTGGGCATGGCCGAACAAAACGTTCAAACGTCTTCCATACGTGAATACTTGTTGTGCAATTGACAATGTGCATGAGAAATGCTTCTTAGAGTTGGCGGAATGTCGTATCGATGGAGAGCAGGTTTGAAGTGAGGTCTGTTGCATTTCCATAACATGGTATCATATTTGTTCACAAGGCATTGGAGTGATTCGCAATGACTGCTGTTCCTGGGCGTCTCTGAACAAAAGTTAGACTCCTGTGAGCTTGTTCTAACGCTGGATGGACCCATCAACAACCGAAGCGTGCTGCCAAAGAAGAGAATATAATTAGCAACCATGTAGCAGTCCTACTCATCGTGTCGTCATCGAAATCAATTGTCTTCTGCCTCTTCATTGCAAAACATACCCAAATGTGTTAAGACTGCTTCAATTCAAACCAATGTCTAAGAGTTTTGTCGACAGCTGCAGGTTTCCTAGTTCTAGCTTGTCTGTAAGACACCTTGAAAGCCGAACAATGTAATTGCAGTATTTAATGTGTTATTGGACAGGAACATAAAATAGAAGTGACACAACTCAGGCATAAAGCTGCAAAAAAGCTTTTTCAGATGATACCATGAATGGAGTTTCTCATCTCAATTTATTGGTAACTAGTTAGGAATTCTCTCATTGTCTGAAATGGAATATAATAGTTCGCTAGCTTTTGGGCTGTAAGTAGGTATTTTGAGGTGTAAGGAATTGCGACTGAAATCTCTCACATCGCTTAGTATTGCACTGATCATGTGGAGGTCAGCCTCATTGGAGTTGGATTATGAATCCGAATTATGCAACGTCCTTCTCAAACTGTGAAGCTGTTACGGATGTTTCCGATCTATATCGTTGCAATCAATGCACACCACTCAAGCTACTGTCGAAATAAAGGGGCTGCAACTTCAACTCATATTATCCAACCAGGAAACTGCTAACTGTAGGAGCGACATCGGGTAACTAACCAACCGCAAAGGTCGTGAACTGCAATGTGATCTATTTTTCTACGTTCTTCAGAATGACCATCCAAATTCTCAGAATTTCGTCGAAGTTTTGATGATGATGTGTGTGTGTGTGTGTGAGTATGTTTTTTTGTTTGTTTGTTTTGTTTTGTTTTGTTTTTTTTTCTTTTCTTTTCTTTTCTTCTTCTATAGAATAGCTCTAGGTGATGGATGGCATGTTGCATCCAAGTTTGTAGAATATTAGATTATGTACAAAAATGAAGGTAATCTTTTTTGTTAGAATGAAAGAAACAAGCAGAGAAGGAGCAGATTTCTCGTCAGTTGCTTTAGAACCAAGATTTAGAAAGTATATATAATAATAGCCAATATAGTTCTTTTTTTTTACAATTTTTTTTCTTTGTTTAATTTTCTTTCTTTCAATAATACAAGGATACATTGATTTTTTTGAAATAATATCATGATTAAATAATAATGCTTAACATCTTTTCATATTTTTAAAAAAACTTTTATGCTTTAAGTAGAAGAACCTAGAAAATATGGTCCATGATTTTAAAACAAATTGAAATTAAAATTTGACTTATAAAAGAAAATAAAAGAAAAAAATCTATTTAGAAAAAAATAAAAATATATATGTATATATATATATATATATATATATATATTCTATAAATTCAAAAAAATTAAAAAGAAGAAACAAAAAAGTTCTATTAAGTCAAAAATAAATAATTTAATGCAATATATTTCAAATTCTTATAATATTAATTTTATATTATAAAAATAGATATAGAAAAGAAAAAATATACTAAATTTATATTAAGATTCTTATGTTTTTTGTTTATATAATATCTAAATACCTTTACTACCTTAATAATTTATTCATTTATTTATTCATTCCATAAAGAAATTGATGACTTTAAAATGGTATGTATTTTTGCTTTTTATTTTTTTTTGATGTAAAAAAGAACTTAAAAATTTAAAATTATTATATCTTTTAGAATATTCAAATATGTATAATTTGACTAAACTTTTGACATACATATTGATGTCATTAATTTTATAATAATAGAAGTCTAAATATAGGATGGAACATCATTGGCCTTTAAAAATATAAAACTTAATAGGAGTTGATTGAAGTAGCCAATACATAAATAAAAAACTACATTTAATGATTTATCATTTGAAAATATAGAAACACTATTTTACTTGTAAACAATATTTTATTCAAGTTCTTTTAATTAAAAGTAAGAGCATTTCCAAAAAGTCTAAGATGATATAATGTGCTTGTCTTTATGGATATGAAACTAACTTACAAATTCACAAAAAATAAAAATAAAAATTCTAGATGCACTAAATATTGTTAAGAAAAAATTATACCACATTAATTGAATGATATATTATTCTTAAAAAAATTACATATATATATATATATACATATATTTGAAGAAATAAAGAATGAATATAAAAGAAATAAAGACACTTGTGAAATAAGAGAAACCATTATCCAAAATAAAGAAAAACATTTAAAGAGAAAGATTTTTGATTGTATTTGGTATTATTTTACCAAAGCACTTTAGATGTCACCATGTGATTTTGAACTTGTCAAATATGACAAATTGAGTCACATTAATTTAGTGGAACATACCAAACCACATCCTCATGTTACATGAGTAGCTGGGCAATAAAGTTTCAACCTGTGAATGGCATAATAAGCACAGACACAATGATTTCCGGTGCACAGTTATTATACTTGACAGAAAAAGTTTTGAGTGATTCTATGTGATGCATTTTGGTGCAAAAATTCAGAAAAGAAATAAATTTCTAAAATCACAAAATCGAATGCTTCACAGGCTTTGCAATGCCTTGTGTAACGACTTTGAATTGGATGTGTCATGGATTATTTATTTATTTATTCTATTTTTTAAAAAACAAACGAAGTGTATCTTCATTGCCATGAGGTTAGAAATATAACCAACCCAGCCGCATGCGGCCTGGGTGGAAACATTGACTACTGCTGCGTTTTTTACGACTCTTGACAGATTGTAAAAATCTTCCAAAACCACCTTATGACTACACTGACTTCGAAGGCCGCTGTTATGGGCTTATGCCTCAATTGCGGTATTGGGTCAATCATGGGAGCAGACCAAAATTTTCTATGGAGGTTGGAATATAAAGCCTGCGATGGGACCAGAAAAACCATTAACTATTGATGCGAACAAGTCTTGACTGCACTACCTGTTTTCAAAACGTTGGGCGAGCTTGACACCATAAGCCTCACGACCTTTTTGTATGGCAGACTTTGGACCATTCTAAACGTCCGTAGTCCACGATACCTAGCGAACAGATTGAAGTAGCTTGGTTCGAGACCATATAACGTCATTGAACACAACATCATTGCATTCCTTCCACATTGCCCAGAGGATTATAGTTCTGATCTGGGACCAAATCAAGTTAAAGTGATTAAACTTGCGGGGGATGCGGTCTGAAAATAGACCCTGCCTCCATGAGAGGGGCTGCCACGGCCGATTAGCGTTCACCCCATGCACAAGGAGATTTAATAGATGAATGTCCCACTGCCACGCTTGTTGGGCGGAGGGACATACCCAATTCATCAGCTCTTCGCGGACACATTCAACATTGGATGGCAAAGGGTGTGGTTTATACGCCCCCTCCACATGTTTACGGCAATGGCACGATGCCACAGCAGCCACAGGAGGGCTGCTTCCTTGTAGATTCTAGCTTTCACTCACGAGGTCTTCCAATGCAATCGGTACTCACTCCGGAGAACGCCTGACCACTTCCTTACAATATGGCTAGAAATCTCGTGGCTGTTCCGAAGGAAAGTTCTGCCTAGCTTGGCTGAGTACGGCATGAGGGGAATCGCCTTGGTTGAAGTCACCCATTGAAACCTGTTTGGGTCCCACGTTAAGGTGGCAATCTTCTCATAAAATAGAAAAACCTCTATTCGTTTAGGGCCGCGTGTGATGCGCACTACTCATACACGGTGGTAAGTGCCGCAAACTGTTGTGGGTTCAGTAGTCACCTGACTGTAAACGGTGGGAGGGAGACAACACAGAATATCACAGGGTGGAAAGCTGGAGGATGATTGTGGAGCCAGCCACGTCTCAAATAACGTGGGTACCAAATGGGATTTTTCAGACCACTGTCGGCAGGGTGTCGTTGGTGGCGTTGTAATAGCCTATCCACTCTCCCTCTCTCGCTGGGAATACTGAGCTTGAAAGTAGCAAGCCCCAGTGTCGCTCTAATCCCACCATTGCTGATTCCTATGCAAAGTTTTCACCGAGGTGGAGACCATTTTCTGTTGCAGCTTCCTAGGCCAAGAGAGAGCACCCTCCTCTCCTCGTGTATCTCTCACATATCGGAGTCCTGCCTTATGCAGTCGAGCCGCTCTCCCTTTGGAGAATCTTGCCCCTATTAATGAAAAGGAAGGAGACCACCACAGGGGTTCCCAATTCACTTCTTCTACAGTTTGGGGCTAAACCATACGAAGATCCTTCACCAAGCTTTTCCATGAGGTTCTAGTGTGAGGCTATACTTTGGACTATTTTTTGACTTGAAACTGAGGAAGTGTGAAAAATTCCAAACTGGGTTTCCACCTCCCTTTTGAGTATGGCTGACAATTGCTAAGTCTGAATCTTAGCAAGGAGTGGAGGTTGGACTTGCCCGTTTCGCAGGCTTTCAGGATCCATTTTGCCATTAGTGAGACCAATGCATCTGTGGGATTGATCATATTGATGCCACCACTCTCCTTAGGTTGGCAGCATTGGAGCCATGCTACATTCGTCCGAGCTCGTTGAATGCTACCCGGCCACATGTAGTTTTGAATATGTGATCGAACTTTTGCCACCCCAGCTTTTGTGCCCCCCATATGGCCACAAAGATGAAAATAGAGGAGAGAAGAATGCTATTAGCAATCACTGCAAGCCGCATAGTGTTTACCTTTGTGGTGCTCCAGTATTTAAACTTCTTGTCAATTCTGGCTTTCAAAAAGTCATATCTATTGATCTAGAAGACATGTGGAGGCCAAAAGGGGTGCTAAGCAATTTACTAATGCCTCCACTATCTACCTACAATATTTCTAAGTTGTTTGTCCAAGTTGGTCTAGGGATCTCAGCTTGCCAATATCCACAAGACTTCATTTAATTATGAACTAGTCCAAAGCTAAGACAAAGTTATTTAAAATACAAAACGAGGCTTGGACAAGATTCTCCTTAAAAGAGGTGTCATCCACAAACTGTGCAATGTCTTGTTGCCTATTCTCCACTGGAAGAGTTATCTCTTGAATTGAGCCAGACTCCACTCATGTTTGCACCATGCAGTTGAGTACTTCTGCAACAATGAGGAAGAGGTATGGAGCAAGGGGGCATCCTTGACGTACTCTCCTAACAATTTTGAAGGACGGGGCTTGAGATCCATTAACTTTGTCACATGCTTCTGCATCATAGAATAGCATTTTGGTCATGTCTATATATTCCACTAGAAATCCAAATTTCAGCATAACTTGAAACAAAAAGGACCAATCCACCATATCATAAGCTTTCAAAAAATCTAGTTTAAGAAAGATGAGAGATTGCTTGGAGTGTTTAGCCCAATCCATAGTCTCATGGATGAAGAAGATGTTGTCTAAGATGAATTGCATTGGGAGGAATGCTGATTGATGAAAAGATATCACTTCCATGAGTACTGATTGCATCCGCATTTACAATACTTTGGCAAATAGTTTGTAAACCACATTAAGAAGAGTGATAGGACTCCAGTTTGTCAATTGGATCCTTGCATCATTTTAAAATAACAGAGATATGATGCCACTTGTGACCCCTTTGGGCAGCCTCTTTCCTTGAACAACTTCAGTAATCATAAATAAGTACTCCTCTTTGATGATATCCCAGTAGAGTTTTAAAAACTCAGTTATAACCCCATCTGGTCCTGGAGCCTTTCCGAGAGCCATCTACTTCAGGGCTTGTTCAAACTCAGCCAAAGAGAATGGAGCCCGTAGGAAGGATTGCATTCGCGGGGTCAATCTACTCTCCACATGACCCAAAGCTTGTTCGGCTGCAGCTTAAGATTCCCTCGATAGTGGGGCAGCAGAGTACAAATTCGTATAGAATCTGGAGCAGATTTGCTCGAGTTCCTACGGTTTAGAATACAACACCCCACTGGCGTCTTTCAACGAGGAGATTACGACAGCCTCGGAACGTTCGCGGGTTGCATGAAAAAAATCCTTCAATGAGGAGTCATCCACCCGCATCCATTTGATGTGGCTGCGTACTCTACGGCCTTCTGCTTCTGCTTTCTGCTATTTATAACCCAATAGTTTCTTCGCCGCCTCGCCCGATCCCCCTTGAACTTCTGAGTTGACTCGATCGGAGTGTAGCTCCCCTAAGACATCCCTTAGTTGCTGTCAAAGCCAGACTTCTTCCACATGGTGCTGTTGTGTCTTCTAGAGACATTAGCCTCTGTAGAACTTCACGACTCTTCTCAATTTGCGAAGAAAACCTGCTTTGGGATGAGCGGCCCAGATGAGTGCCACTCTCCTTCAAACCGCGGGGTCCGCTAGGTAGGCTGAACTCATTTTATATGATGAGATTCAACGGGGTGGAGTATCCAACTGCACCACACACTACACCAGCATGTGGTCCTCTACCGCATAGTCCCCTCTGATCACATATTCACGTACTGGATGAAGCCCAACCTCATCTTACTTGAATGTATAGAACCTATTTAGGCGGGCCATAACGCGGGCCTCATCCATCATCATCATCACCACTCCTGCTGCTCCCCGCTGTTCCCGCTGCCCGTGTCGCGTGCAAGCGCCTTCTCTTGCACTTTGCCGAACTCCCACTGCCGCATGCTTTCTAATCGTCAAGGACTAAACTAATACCCCTTTGAGACATGAACAGCGAGCAGGGAAGTTCTCAAATCAGCTTGCAGTTAATGCAGGGAACCGGCATTAAGGGTAGCACACTTGCGAGCACAGAACGGCTCCTCACCAAGCAACGCAGTAGCATAACAAGTAGGAGAGTATCCGGAAGACAACGACGGTGTAGAAGTTGTTCCTTCGATCGTCGAACTTACCAGAAGAGGTATGACGGCAGTTGGGGTTCACGACGTCGCGGGAAAGAACAGTGCAGTTGTCGCAGTAGGAGATGGGCGTGCGCGAGAAGTCCTGAAAAGCTGGTCCGGGCGAGGAGGAGGAGGAGTACCAAGGTGAGCAGTGGCGAAAACGTGGGGGGGGGGGGTGAAGTTGTCCCGAGCATGACCCATCGCGAACTTGCTTGCTTCTGCGCTGGGAGGTGGGGTGAGGTGAGGTGAGGAAGCCAGCAATTACTGGCCCTAGGAATAACCAGAGGCATCTCGGAAGCACATCGAACACACTCACTCCACTCACTCACTCCATGCATGCATGCTGTCACGAGAAAATAACGGATCGGGTGCAGTAAGCGTGCGGATGCGAAGTTTTGTAATGCATTGGATTCAGCGCACCCTGATAGATTCCAGCAGCACGGGGGGACCCAGAAGCGTGCGATACCCAAGAGCTAAGACTCGGAAGGATCGACATTGCCGTTGGGTCTACCTACAAACTGAAGGTTTTGGCTTCATCACGACCCCTCGCTTTCAGCAGGTCGAATCTGCATCTCTCTCACACCGGGATAAGTGTTCCATTATATTTTGAATTTAAAGATGCAACTTTGATGGCAAGTTGCCAGCTAGATATCCAGCTGGAATAGCTCAGTTGGTTAGAGCGTGTGGCTGTTAACCACAAGGTCGGAGGTTAGACCCCTCCTTCTAGCGAATTACAGTCCAGAATGCTCATGAGTTCTCCTGAGGGAGGCGAAGAATTTCAATGAATGGTGGACTTTGGAGATTCAATGGTGTCTATTTCGAACTTGTACACTAACTTTCTGAATCCTGATTTTTTTATAGTAGAGCTGTAATATCTTGACGGGAGAAGAGGATACTGGATTTAGTTATAAAAATTTAGGACTAAAATTACGATTAAAGCAGCAATTCTTATTACGTACACTTCTTGTTCACATGCAATGCTTTAATGTGGTGTACATTGGTTGCTATATTAATGTTGGGGACTCAAAACAATCGCAAATAATTGTAGATTGAAGATTTCACTTGTTTAAGAGTTTAAATGTTGTTGAGTTTTACATATTTGTTCTAAAAAATATCATTTAGTCAACTTGGAAGAAAATAAGAGTGGAGAAGTGAAAAAATCTAATATATATAATTTCTAACTTCAAGTAAAAATAAATATGCAATAAAATGAGAGAGACGGTAATATCTATAGATATTTGTGACCAATGCAACCTTAGAGGCATTTTATACTTAGGAGTCAAGTTGAGAGGCCTTACTTATTTTGACTAGTTGAAATAGAGAGCCCTCTTTAATTTGGTTATATATTTAAAAAAACAAGTCTAAAATCCCAAGAGAAAAAAGTAGTATTGAATGTATTTTTTTTTTTTTTATACATGATATGCGTAGTATTGTCTCTTGGAATTTTTGTTGGGCCTATCTCACAAAAAGTGGATTTTGAAAAAATTAAAGAAGCCATGTTAGAAAATGCTTATTATAAGTATTAAAAAATAAAAATAAAGTTTTTTATACTTTTCATAATTGTTTGAATCAAGATATAATGTAACATATTAAGACTTGTAATATAAGAATGACTTGGACCTATTCTTACTTTATACCAAATACCAAACAAAAGATCTTCATCAGCCTTTTGAATTGTGGCCTTTTAAAGTGGACTTCTAGATATAAAGTGCCTTCTAATATGGTGCATATCTACTTCTAAAAACATTTATAGCACCAAAAAGTCTTCTATATATATGATAAACTTAAGTGATTTAAAATTAATCTTTGTATTTTAACAAGATTGTTTCTATCATAATAAGTTATGAAATAGTGAAGATATGTATACATTTTAATAAACAACCTTCAGTGAATGATAAAGTATCCTAAATTATTCCACATGAATTCCAAATATGTGTTTATTAGTTGTTGAATATTACAAAGATTAGATATAAATAAAATACATAAACATTCAATGTATTAATTGTAAATATGTATTTTAAATGAATTAACTATTAAATATGATATTATATACACACACATTTATTTATATATATATATATACTTCTTGTATTTCAAGCATAATAAATCTTAATAAAAGCTATACAAATATATTGTGTTATTAAAGATTAAAAAATGCTATCATAGATTTTATTTTGCAACTTCCTCCTATCACCCAAGAAAGTCATAATTTGTCTTCTCCAATTGACAAACCAGCCACTAGAATACTTCAAAGTTGTTTTTCCTCTAAACTCCGCTCTGAGTAACAAACTTGTGGATAGAACAATTGACTGCCATCTTACAAAACTACGTGAGCACTATTTTGAACACCAAACTATGGCACTTCACACGGATTCATCGTGTTCCGTGACTTCGTTGTCGGCCAAGCGTGCATCCAAAACCGGTTTACACACACACATACAGACCCACTCGCACACATCCAAGCTGCTGCAAGAAGGAGATGCCACCAGGCCACCATATTTGCTCAAGAATTCGACCAATATGTGCACACACAAAAGGGTACAAATGTGTGCAGTCTTTGTCTATGCAGCATGTGTTTGGGAATATGCTAGGGGTTTCAGTGAAAGCTGATCAGCATTGCATTTTTCACGCAGTAGAACCACCTAGTTTGTGCCTAGTTCTCCTGGTGGAGATTATAGAAATCAATGGAAACTTTACAAAATGTATCCGACCACACAGGTAGGTGGTTTTGTTTGTATTAGCAAATTTATAGGTGATCACATGAGGTAGATACGAGTTACGGTACTTAACAAGATTGTAGAGTGGTAACATGACTGGATCATATTACCGCTCCCAACACTTCTCCTCAAGCCTATTGTTCTTTGATTGTGATACGTTGTGATTGATGATTTTTTTTAACGTTGGCTAGTTTGAACAAATAGCGTTCGGAGTTTAACCACTCACAGATGGTGCTCCTCTTGTATGTGGAAAATCCCCGTAGTCTACTGCTAACCTAGTTGACCAACTGGTTTAGAGCTTTGGCTGACTGCTACGGTGTCTGAGGTCTTCCAACGTTGTGAGTTGTAAGGCATCGCGTATTTCCAGGAAGCGGGGTTTTGGACGTGCTTCAGTGTTGATGTCCGCCAATTAATGCTGCGATCGAACAAACACCAGTTTGATTGGTTCTTCCTTGGCTTGATGTCAAATGAAATGGCATTCTCGATCTAAGTATTTGGTTCAAGCATGTTGGACTGGGTTCTTGGCTATAGCGATGCAGCTCTGGTTGTCACAGTACATGACCACAGGAGTTGTGAGTGGCATACCGATGTCATCAAAGGGATTGCGTAGCCGCAGGGCTTCTTTGGCTGCTTCAGCACACGCGTAGTATTCTATTTCGAAGCTCGATTGTGCTATTTCAACCTGCAGTTTGCTGCGCCAGGACGTGGGTCCACTGCCAATGCTGAAGATGTAGCCCAAATTCGATCTTCGTGCATCGAGTTCACCGTGAAAATCACTATTGGAGTAACCAAATAGAATCACCTTCTCTCCCTTTCAATAGAGAATTGCAAGGTCGGCTGTGCCTTTGAGGTAGGGGAAGACATGAATGGCTGCTTCGAGGTGAGCTTCTCGGGGTGTCTGGGTGAAACGAGTGAGAACTCCGATAGCAAAGATGATGTCAGGGCGGGTGTTGTTCATGTGGAGCAATTTTCTGACAACGACCTAATAGTAGATGGGATCGGGTAGAAAAGGGGAGGCCATGTCGAGAGATAGCTTGACTGTGGGATCCCAAGGAAATACGGTGATCAAGCTGGTGAGTAAGCCGAAGTCGTCAAGGTAGCAATGAATGTAGCGGGAGTGAGACATGAGTATGCCAGTCGATTCGTAGTGAAAAGTAACGCCGAGGTATATAGCCAAGAGCCCAAGCATGGACATCTGAAACTTGGATTGGAGGTGCGTAGCTAGCCACTGGAGCTTGGTGGGGTGACTACCAGTAAATAGAGGGTCGTCAACATAGATGATGAAGAGGACCATGCCGTCGGGGTTGATGCTACACATAGAGGTTAGGATCAGCACATAATTGGGTGGGGCCGAGAGTGTAGAGGAATGTGTCCAGCTGAGCTTTCCAGGCCTGAGGTGATTGTCGATGGCCATACAGGGCCTTTCGAAGTTGGCAAACATAATGCTCGGAGCCGGCATCAGTTTTCAGTTTGTAAATCCACTTAACCGCGATCAACTCAATGTTTGGTGGGGGTGGGACAAGATCCCAAGTGTGGTTGGCGGAGATGGACGTCATTTTGTCGCGCATAGCAGCAAGCCATGCTGGATCCTGAATCGCTTCAGTGTAAGAGCGGGGTTCTGCCATGGATTTGACGCAAGCGAGGGCTTCGGTAACACAAGTGACGGAGGCCACATAATCGTGGAGACGAGTACTAGGGATTGGAATGCGTGAAAAGCGGCGATGAACAGAAGGTAGAGACGGGATCGCAATCGGGGGCTCAACAGGATGGGTAGAGCGTCTATGGTAGGTAATGAGAGATGGTGGAAAGGCGGGAGTGGATTCATTTAGACTCGAGGACTCAGCAGGAGGAATGGGGAGCTATTTGGCCGGAAGGAGGGCCGGTGTGTGAGAGGGAGTGTCTGAAGGGGTAAGGATGGAATCAAAGACCTCGATGACGGCAGAGTGATCTAAGAGGGATTCCAATGCTAAAGAGGGACGAGGGACAGTAGAAGCAAAGGAAGTGTGCCAGAAACGACTTTCAGCAAAGTGAACATCTCGACTAATGTAAATGAGGCGAGTTCCGGGTTCATAGCACTTGTAAGCCTTGATTTCTTTAGAGTAGCCAACAAGAATGCATTTGATTGTTTTGGAATCAAGTTTGGAGCGACGTTCATCTGGCTTGTGTACAAAAACTAAACAACCAACGACATGAAGATGATGGAGGTCAGGTGGTTTCTTGAACAACCTCTGGTATGGAGAGAAGCCAGAGTTGGCATGTGTTGGAGACCAGTTGGTTAGGTAATTAGCCATTCCAACAGCCTCCACCCACAAGTATCGAGGGATACGAGACTCCAAGAACATGGAGTGCGTCTTTTTCAAGAAGGGTGCAATTCTTCCGCTCACTTACGCCGTTCTGGCTTGGGGTGAGAGCCTGAGTGAGCTCCCGGTGAATTCTAATTTCTTGAAAGAAGACAGTGAAAGAGCTGGAGAGAAACTCTCCACCCCTATTGCTGCGGAAGCTGCCAATGGATTAATGCAGTGCTAGCTCGGCTTGTGATTTGAAAATTTTAAAGCTCGTAAGGGTGTCGGATTTGCATCTCAAAAAATAAATCCATGTGTATTGGGAGAAATTGTCAGTGAGTGTAACGAAGTACTGCGCTTCGCCTAGTGATGGTGGAAAGAGAGAGCCGCAAAGATCCGAATGGATCAATTGGAGAGGATGCTTAGATCTTCGAGTGGCAGTTTTAGGATTTTGGTGGCGAGCTTGTTTGCCTTCAAGACAGCTATCAGAGAGGGGTGGGATGCCAGAGGTCAAAGAAACTCTGACGGCTGCCCTTTTTGGTGGCCATGGAACGCAGGCTATGTTGTTTGATGTGGTCCAACCTTCTATGCCACAATTGGCCCACTTGGACTGCACAACACAGATGGGGAAGAGAGGGTCATTCATGATGTAATGATACAAGCCAGTGCTCTTATCTCCAATCCCTTTGCCGTCAATTTCTTGTGGCTCATTGTTAATTAAACATTGTTCTTTATCAAACACGAGTATGAAACCTTTATTAGCCAAGCAAGCAATGGAAAGGAGATTGCTTGTAAGCCCCGATACGTAATAAATGTTAGCTTAATTCCACCTGAATCGAAGCAGTGTAC